TTTCACATCACATGTCAGCCCGCAAGTAAAGTATACCATTTTTAGCAGGGTCTGCCCTAACGTTAATGAAAATGATAGTATATTACATGTATATATTCTAGCCGACCCCGTTCCTTATTGTCGAGTACATGTATTTCCTTGAAGCCAATATTGATAGAGAGTGCTGCATCATGCATGTAGGCAACGCCCTAGCTAGATTGAAGGTCTTGGCAGGTCGTTAAAGAGGAACCAAGAGTGCCGATCTGATTACATCAGCATCAAACTTTGTGTTGAGCCTCAACTGCGGCGACTAACTAATGGGTTTCTCTTCATGACTCTTCAACACTACTGTCCAGGACCGCCTCTACTACTCCCAACAACGCCTGAACAGCCCGCGCAAGATGCCTCCACGCAGAAATCCTGCCGCTGCTGCCTCTTCTACGGCGCCGCCCAAGCCGAATCCCCCCAAATTCCGCGCGAAGGCCAAAGCCGAAGAAGTTGAAGGCGAACCGTCTAAGCCTCAAGGAGACGCATTCGATGACTTGTTGCAAACATATTACAAGGGAAAACACTTGACGGACTCTATCAGCACTGCGGAGGATAAATGGACGCTGCTACCGGCGTTTTTGAAAGTAAAAGGGCTTGTGAAGCAGCACATTGACTCGTTCAACTTCTTTGTGGATGTGGAATTGAAGCAAATCGTGAAGGCGAATGAGCGTGTGGTTAGTGATGTGGATCCGCAGTTCTTTTTTAGGTAAATATATACTAAACTTGAGTTTTGAGGTTTTGTGAAGCCTGGACTCATATTGGCGACATAGGTACACGGATATCCGGGTGGGTACACCCGAGCGCCTAGATATTCAGAGCAATGCCGAAATCACCCCCAACGAATGTCGATTGCGCGATCTCACCTATGCTGCCCCGATCTTCGTTGACGTTGAGTACAGTCGTGGAAAGCAGATTGTACGGAGGAGGGGAATGAACATCGGGCGACTGCCGATTATGCTGAGGAGTAGCAAGTGTGTCTTGTCGAATAAGAATGAATGGGAGATGGCAAAGCTCAATGAGTGCCCATTAGACCCTGGTGGCTATTTTGTTGTCAACGGTACGGAGAAGGTTATTCTTGTCCAGGAACAACTGAGCAAGAACCGTATCATTGTTGAAAATGATCCAAAGAAAGGATTTGTTCAGGCAACCGTTACTAGGTAAGCAATGCCCCGGTGTATTTGCGACCCCAGCATAGCTAAGTTTTCAAAGTTCTACTCATGAGAGAAAATCTAAAACCCACGTTATCACTAAAAAGGGATGCATTTATCTTCGGCACAATTCTATCATGGAAGATATGCCCATCGTTCTTGTCATGAAGGCTATGGGTATACAATCTGACCATGAGATTCTTCTCCTCGTTGCTGGAACAGACATGGTGTACCAGGATAGTTTCTCTATTAACTTCGAGGAGTGCTCGAAACTCAAGGTATTCACACAACAGCAAGCTCTTGATTATCTCGGGACCAGAGCCAAAAAAGCAAGAATGCCTCAAAATGCGATAAACAGACGACCACCAGCTATGGAGGCTCTTGAAACTTTAGCGAATATAGTTTTGGCTCATGTTCCTGTGGAGAACCTCAACTTCAGGCCAAAAGCCTTGTACTTGGCTTTCATGACGAGAAGGGTATTAATGTGCATGACCAACCCAGCATTAGTGGACGATAGAGATTATGTCGGGAACAAACGTCTTGAGCTGTATGTTATTTCTACTCCAGTTACATTAAGATCAGACACTGACTAAACTTCTAGTGCTGGCCAGCTCCTATCTCTATTGTTTGAAGATTTGTTCAAAAAGCTTAATAATGACATGAAGATGAACATTGATAAAATCCTCAAAAAGCCTAGCCGAACAGAAGAGTTTGATGCAAGCACTTTACTAGCCACCGGCGCTAACCTTATCACACATGGAATGAATCGCGCCATCTCGACTGGCAACTGGTCTGTAAAACGTTTCAAGATGGAACGTGCTGGAGTCACACATGTTCTCAGTCGATTAAGTTATATCAGCGCTCTTGGCATGATGACGAGAATATCATCCCAGTTCGAAAAGACTCGTAAGGTCTCTGGTCCTCGTGCACTCCAGCCTTCCCAATTTGGTCTGCTGTGTCCATCGGATACGCCAGAAGGTGAAGCCTGTGGTTTAGTTAAAAATTTGGCTCTCATGACACACATTACGACAGACGATGAAGAAGAACCGATCAGGAAACTAGTGTTTGCGCTTGGCGCGGAAGATGCAACATTAGTAAGCGGGTACGAACTTTACGCGCCGGGGGCGTATATAATATTTATCAACGGTACAGTTGTTGGTCTCACGAGGTATCCGGCAAAGTTCCTGCAGAACTTTAGACGGCTAAGGCGGACGGGCAAAATTTCGGAGTTTGTTAGCATTTTCATCAACCAACATCATAATGGTGTACACATTGCGACAGATGGTGGGAGGATTTGTCGGCCATTGATCATTGTTGAGAACAAGCGGTGCAAAGTTACACCGCGATACCTCAAGGTCTGTTAAAACGTCAATTTCTGTCTACTGTCGCTGATTTTATCAATAGTCACTCGCAGCTGGTCGCATGAACTTTGAAGACTTCCTTAAACGCGGTCTTGTTGAGTACGTTGATTGTAACGAGGAAAACGATGCGCACATTGCCATTTATGAACACGAGATTACCGAGTCTACCACACATCTTGAGATTGAACCTTTCACTATACTAGGGGCCGTTGCCGGTCTCATTCCATATCCTCACCACAACCAGTCTCCACGTAACACTTACCAATGTGCCATGGGAAAGCAAGCCATTGGAGCCATCGCGTACAATCAGTTTTTGAGAATAGATACCCTACTATACCTTATGGTCTATCCACAACAGCCTATGGTGAAAACAAGGACCATAGAATTGATTCAGTACGACAAGCTTCCTGCTGGGCAGAGTGCGATTGTGGCTGTCATGAGTTATTCCGGATATGATATTGAGGATGCACTGGTACTTAACAGAGCGTCGTTGGATAGAGGATTTGGAAGATGCCAGGTATTTAGAAAGTATTCAACAACATTAAAGAAATACCAGAACGGAACTGTCGACCGTATCGGCGATATAAAGCGGGAGCCAAGTCGAGACCCGGACACCCCTGACGAAATGGTGCCGATAAAAAAGCACGCTGCACTCCAAGCCGATGGTCTTGCCGCTGTGGGTGAAAAGATATCCGCAGGCGAAGTCTACGTCAACAAACAAGTCCCTACAAATACTTCAAACGCTCCCACACTTCTTAATGATGGTCCTCCGCTGGACGAGTACAAAGACGCGCCTATGACTTATAAACTTGCGGACCATGCATACGTCGACAAGATCCTCATCTCAACAGCCGAGTCCGAGCAAACCCTCATCAAGGTCCTCACCCGCCAAACCCGTCGTCCCGAGCTAGGCGACAAATTCTCCTCCCGCCACGGCCAAAAGGGTGTCTGCGGCATCATCGCCCGCCAAGAAGACATGCCCTTCAACGACATCGGCATCATCCCCGACATCATCATGAACCCGCACGGTTTCCCCTCCCGCATGACAGTTGGAAAGATGATTGAGCTCCTGGCCGGCAAGGCCGGCCTCATGTGCGGAAAGCTGCAATACGGAACCGCGTTCGGCGGCAGCAAGGTCGACGACATGGCAAAGATCCTCGTCGACAGCGGCTTCAGTTACTCGGGGAAGGACTTTGTCACCAGCGGCATCACGGGCGAGTCCTTGCAGGCATATATCTTCTTCGGCCCCATCTACTACCAGAAACTGAAGCACATGGTGCAAGACAAGATGCACTCGCGCTCACGCGGACCCAGAGCCGTAAGTTCCTCCCCACTCCCCCCCGCCCCCCTGTGTTCAGATACTAACAAGCCCAGGTCTTGACACGCCAACCCACGGAAGGTCGATCCCGCGACGGCGGCCTCCGTCTCGGCGAGATGGAGCGCGACTGCCTGATCGCCTACGGCGCCTCGCAGCTGCTGCTAGAGCGCCTCATGCTCTCGTCGGACGTGCACGAGATCGACCTGTGCGAGACGTGCGGGCTCATGGGCTACAGCAACTGGTGCACGACGTGCCAGTCCAGCAAGGGCGTGGTCAAGATGAAGATCCCGTATGCGGCGAAGCTGCTCGTGCAGGAGCTGCTCAGCATGAATGTGCTCGCTAGGATAAAGCTGGAGGACGTGTTTCCGTATGGCGAGGGGGATGTGAAGGAGGCTTAGTGGTTTTTGTGGTTTGTTGTCTGGATGATTGGATGGATGGATGGATGGACGGCTTTGCGGGGTGGTGTATTTTACGTGTATATATCCAATGCAATACATACTGGACTGCGCTGCCCGGTACGGTTGCGATAGCTGTGAGATGTCAAATACCAACTTTACGAAAATGCGTCCGCCTAACTCGGGGTCAATGAGGCGACAAGTGTCGTTTAAAGGCCGAGTAGTATAAGGAAAGGACACATGTGTCGAGGCGTTTTAAGCGATGGGATGATCACACTGTGTAGGTAAGTACAAAAATGGGGAGAATAAACTAGGAAATCTCCTCCTCCCTTTCTTCTCTAAGGCGCGAGACTCCAATGAACTCTGTGAATTGTCTCTACTTTCGCGGGAACTTTCTACAGGGGCGAAGACGTCCATGATCGTAACGCCAAGACTGAATGCCGAGTCGTCGAGTGATGATTTATGATGCAGCGCCTCCCCATCCACAAATTCCATCTTGTTCGATCCACGTGCGCACCACGAAGGTGCAATATTAAAATATCACACAAAAACACAGTCTACGGATCAAATCACAATAAATTCCCCCCCAAAGCCCCCCTACGTCTAAAATCTACGTAGGTATATAACTACACTATAACATTGGGCCGGCCGGTCGGAAAGAACCGCCGTCACCACCGCAGCCAGTTGAAACACAGTACTAAATGCATATTTTGTCTATGTCGCCGGCCCTTACCTATGTATCTATCCGCGTCTAAAGCTTCGTAGCCCAAGCCGTATGCACGATGTAATGCACCGCAATCTCGCCCTGGTCATTCCGCTGGACATCCTCGCCCTCCAGCACCTCATCAAAGCCCTTCCTGAGCTCCTACATCCCCGCGCGCCGACAAAATCAGCACCCTCTCCGTCTCCCATCCACCCGCCCGCCACTCCCACCCCCCAAAACCAAAGCCAGAAGCCAAAAGGAGAGAAAAAAACTCACCTCCCTCTCCCCCTCCCCCAAATTCGCAATATTACTCAACGTCCCCAACCTCCTCCACAGCGCCTCCTTCCCCAGCCATATCTCCACCTCAAAGATCCTCTCCTGCAGCGCCGAGAACGCGGCCGGGGGCGTGAACGCGCCCGCCCACTTGTTGTCCTTGTACCGCGGCGAGGCGTCCGTTGTGTGCTGCCAGTTGAGGTCGCGCAGCTGCCCCTCCCAGTGCGTTTTTGTGGCGTGGTGGCGCGACTGGTTGTAGTCCTCGACGTTCCAGATTAGGCCGAGACGGCCGCCGGGGCGGAGGGTGCGCGCGATGGAGGCGAGAGACGTGGGGTTGGCGAACCTGCGGTGGTTAGTCTTGTACGGCGCGAGCGAGCCCGGAAGAGAGAAGGAAGAAGAGAAGCGGGGGTGGGTACCAGTGGAATGCCTAGAGTGATAGACCGCCGCGCCGGCCGCGCGCGGGCTTTGCTTTAGTAAACCAGAATTCTAACCCGCCAATGTACTTGACCCAACCGGACACACCCGCACGAGTGACCCACCTGCGCAACAACAACGGCATCCGCCCATCCGTCCTCCACCGGGATATCATACGCATCGCCCTCCTTCACACTGACGCCCTTCAGGTCCTTTGTCCTCAGTGTCGCAAGCATATCTTTATGCGGCTCGACCGCCACAATTTCATATTCCTCAGGGCGCGCCGCGAGGAGCTCCGTGAACTTGCCCGTGCCGGCGGCGAGGTCGAGGACCTTGGCGCGGGGGGTGGAAGCGACGTTGAGCTGCTCGAGGAGGTGGGTGAGTGCCGGTGCGATGTAGGAGGGCCGGTGGGCGTCGTAGGAGGCGGCGGCGGAGAAGCCGGTTAGTGCGATGGGGTCGTAGGGCTTGGTGCTCATGGTGTTGCTGCGTGGGGGGAATGGGAGGCGCGGTGGTGGGAGTTTAGGTTTGGTGTGGAGGAGGAGGAAGGGAAGGGAGAGGGAGTGGGGGAGCTTTATAGGCATTGTGCAGTTGGGTTTTGAGGATCGATGTGAGTCTTTGTGAGTCAATTGGGGGGGGAGGGGGGAGGAGGGATTCGCAATTGAGGATCTAGATGGGTTAATTGCTGGTAGCCAATTGTGGTAGTAATATACACGTTCATGTACTCTCTGAATTACCGATTGCGGGGCTTTGCCCATAACCGGCCGAGTGACAGGTCGGGGTAAATTGGGGTGTTTGTGAATCGACTGTCTGCAATTGCGTGCCTGCAGTCGGGGACGGGCCCGCAAATGATGCTCTACTTATGATTGACACTGGCTCTAGTGTGGTACAGAAAGTACCGTATGTACATGCAGTAATCCTCCCAGCCAATGAGAGCCGCCTAGGGCACGGGCGGAACTCTCGCCGCGATGATGTCGTTACTTAGTAAGACAGCAACCCCTGCAGGGTCCCGGTCCCCCCACCGAGCACGAAGCTTGATCCAACGACAGCTCGGCCGCCGCCCATCCGAGCACCCAAGCCTTGGCAGCAATGCGGATCCCCGGATCTCTAACCTTTCCTGTCTATCTCCCTGGTATCTCGGGTTACTCAAAAGACCTGACCAATCCGTAGACTGTAGACCTGTCCATCTTCTCGTATTCTTCGTGTTCCTTTACATAACTGCAGCAGTGGCTGGAGTAAAAACAGCTCTCCGCGGCCGACAATCATTACGCTTGATTTTCGAATTTCGAATTCCACAGCTACAAAAAGCCTGCTATGTTGCTCCACAATGGCAAGAATCCGCTGCCAGAGCCCGACGCAGAGCTATCCGAAATGCCTCAACCGTCCTCTTCACGACTAAGCTCACGAGTATCACGTCTTCTTGTAACGCTCTGTGTAGTGGGTTTTATACTGTTTAATCCAGCCTCATGTGTCTTCTCGGGTACTAGTGGTGACCACGTCGCATTGGCAGAGGACGGATCATCAATCAGCGACTCGGTTGAAGAGATCCTAAGTTTGACACCGTTGATAGGTATGAGGGTCCGGACATGGACATGGATATATCGAGTATTGTACCTGCGTGGAATACTGACTGGGGCTAATCAGATGGCCATGACGATCTCCCTATTGCCATCAGGTTCTTTTACCAGAACAAGATTTATAACGAAAACTTTACGTTTGATACAGAGTTGATGGGCCATGTTGACCTTCCGCGGTTAAGAAAAGGGCGCGTAGGGGTTTGTTTTCCTTTTCTGCTAGGTTCTGCAAGGTTTAATTAATCATTGTTGGATCAGGGTACATTTTGGAGCATCTATGTCGACTGTCCAGGAACCGATAACAATTTTACGGATGCTGTTTATTATGAAGTAACCATTCCATCCTGGTCTGAACTTTCTCCATTTGGCGCTGACAGATTCCGGTCCAGAATGTCCATGACGCGCTCCAGCAGATCGACCTCGTCCATCGTCTCGTCGCCGCGTACCCGGATGACCTTGAGCTTGCGCTCACCCCCTCGGCGGCCGTCAAGGCCCACGCGGACCACAAAATTGCCTCAATGATGGGCGTCGAGGGTCTGCATATCATTGGCAACTCCGCGTCAACCCTGCGCCTGTACCACGCCCTCGGCGTCCGCTACGTAACGCTTAACCACAACTGCAACAACAAATATTCTGATAGCGCCCTCCCTGCCGACGCACCTTTATGGAACGGACTCTCGAAAGATGGTGAGGCTATCATCAAAGAGATGAATCGTCTAGGCATGATGGTAGATCTGGCGCACACAAGTAAAGACACAATGGTGGACACCTTGAGCGTTACGAGGGCGCCTGTCATCTTCAGCCACTCCTCTGCGTAGGTCAACCAAGGGTGCTGTGTGGAGTGAAAATGTGTATTTCCAATTTGCTGACTCACTGATTGGTTCTAGATTCGCAATCTGCCCTTCCCCTCGCAACGTACCCGACGATGTTCTCCACCTCGTAAAAGACAACGGCGGTGTCGTGATGGTCAACTTCTTCCCCGAATTTGTGCACTGCGGGCCCGGCATTGACCCCAAAGACGCAACCATAGATGACGTCGCTGACCACATACTACACATTGCGGAACTTATCGGATGGGAGTATGTCGGTATTGGCTCAGATTTCGATGGAATCCCTATCGTTCCAAAGGGCCTGGAGGATACGTCAAAGTTCCCGGCACTTTTTGAAATCCTTATGTCTAGGGGAATGACGGTGGAGCAGGGGAGAATGTTGGCTGGAGAGAACGTGCTCAGGGTTTGGCGGGATGTAGAGAAGGTAGCGAGCAAGATGTTAGAGGAGGGAGTGGAGCCGTTAGAGGATACGGTGAAGTAGATGCAGCATGAATAGTAGTTAGAGAGGAGAGAAGGGTAGAGATTGACGTGAGGGGGGTATTGGGACTTTATATAGCAATTTCAACAAGACACATATACGAACAGAATAAACTTGCCAGATATTAGTTATGGCTCGGAACACTAAAGAAAACGGATTTCTTTCCGGAATCAGGCAGGACTTCTTTTGCTACGTTGTGAGATGATATGATGTCCACCCTTCTAAAAACGGCGATCGCACCCTGAGTCATGAGCGATCACTCGATGATTTCGTACACCAAGACAGAAGGAAAAAAGGACTCGATCAGAATGGAGAGGAGAAAACTTACACAGTAACTCTATTTCAAGCCGATTTTATTGCACAGCTCCGGTCTCGTACGGTGGGCTATTCTAAGCCAATCGAAGAAGGAGGGATGCGCATGGGCGTGGGTGAAGTAAGGGGGTAGGATGCACGTTTGCACTAGTGGGAGGATGGACGTAGCATATATATATCCTTCGTGACCTCCTCCGCTTGGGGACGAGCCTACCTTCGTAGGAGGCTTATCTGATATGATGGAAGGTTCGAATGACCACGGCCACACGTTACGTTACATATACGTAACCACTTGCGAAGCTCTAGCCTAACGCCGTATTCGGCCAAGATCATACGTTCTTGGCAACATGGCCGTTTGGACTGCACCTCATCCCATCTCTCTCCCGTCTCTTTCCCATCTCTACCCCATCTCTGCCCCATCTCTATCCCATCTTCATCGGCCATCAGCCTTTCACCTAACTCACGGCCAACTACACCCAAGACACCCTTGAGCGAATGTTTACTCCACGACCCCCTTTGGTTAAGAGCTAGAAGAACAATTATAAGTAATGTGCATAGGATAGACTGAGCTAACTTAGTGTGGAAGTCCATGTACTCAGTTTTCCTGCTCAGCGAGTTCCTTGGCAACCGAGACTTCGGGTCCTCTACCACTTAAAGAACTGACCACCAAACCTACAGGCTACAGCCAAGGAATACTTGTATACGGAGACCCGCTGAATAGTAAACTCGCTGAGCAGAGAAACTAAGTATGCACATCCTATTGGCCGAACGGTTTCAAGGCTTTACCTAAAATAACTAGAATTTCTGTATAGCCCGCTCTAATTTCTGTTCAATTTGCGCAGCTAAAAGACTCTATTGGACGCACCAGTCGGAATGCGGTTAGTGCTTACGAGTGATACCTCATGATCCACGCATTGTCTAGTTCAACTAAAGCTCTGCCACACGGCAGTGGTTTAAGCCGATGCTCTAAGTACTCTGTTCATTTATCGTGTCGGCTGACATTTCATGCAGGTTTACGAAGCCATCTGACATCCGTTCCTCCGGACGTCACAGGCTGAATTGCCGACCATTGGCCAGGCTGAGAATTAACAATGGGTTTTAAATTCTACCAAACTACCATTCTTCTTTATCAACACTGAAGAAAGCAGAAACTTTTGCAAGATACCTCTTTATCGGTAGCTTAGTACTACTATTGCGTTTACTATAAAACCTTATCCCTACGGACTCGCCCTCTGGAGGGATGGACATATCCGCCTAACTAGCATGAAACACAGTTGGACTCTATCATCTCGGAGAGATAATCACACCCTTCTCATTACGCGAGCATGGCTTTCCAGGAGTCGACTCAAGGATGGCAACCGTTCATATCCGGCTCAAAAGGCTCTGGATAGGGCCATAAAGAGATTGCAAAAATGAGTCTTTCTCATAAACCCCATCAACATCAAACTCAAACATGTAGTTACACCGTATTGACTATTCATTTATCCTAGGTATTACCATCCATGAGTCAAGTCTGGGATTTGAATATCGCAAGGCTCGTATTAGACAGGAACATGAGCAGGTGTATCATGTCCTACCCAGGCTCCCATCAACATCAACTACACTGCTACATTTGAAGCTTCAAAATTCCGAGGCTATCCGTCAACAATGTTCTTTTGGATGTCATACTTCTTTTGGCCAGAAGGCTAAAAGGTTTGCGAAGGATCATGGTTCAAAGTCGGGGATAGCATTACGCCGCACATATGCCTGCGAGAAATCCAACGCCGGTTTAACGCCGCGGGCACCAACCTCACCCGCCTCCCTCAGCTTTTCGACCGAGCCCTCAGTCTATGACCGCCTGATTGACTAAAAGAGGCTAGCGTCTTGTGCGTTTAAGTTGTCCAATCACTCGATAGACTCAAAATCAACGCCTGGGGCTGTGCTGTGCTGTGGTCATAATTTTCCGACCCAGAGAGCCTTACGAGACATGAAGGAAGAAAAACGGAACCTCACGAAAAGAGATAAAGCCCCGTAGATACATAGGTATCTGCTCCCCTCACGCGGGGTCACCAATAGTCCGGGCGGGAATACCTTTACCTAATTATCGATGGATAGATAATCTTCACTGGTGTAATTGTGCTTCTACGTCCTAGGACGTCTTTTTGGGCAGGCGTACTTATGATCAATACTGCTAACTACGGATCTGCGCCTTCCTACAGAATTCCATTCTCTGGGCAACATCAAGGCTATGGCTATGTTCAAAACGCTCGAGATACTGTTGGACCGCAGCCTACCGCCGCGGTAGAGCCAGAAGTTTTCGGGGCTTGGTCGCTGCTTGGTTAGCCATAACATGTGGCCGTAGGCGTAAAGGATGGTGTGGGCTGTTTGCTTCTGATATCCTCTCTTGCTTACCCTGCGATATGCTATCGTAAAATGGCTCACCATGGAACCCCGCTGGTAGTCCACCTCGTTCTGTTGAGTTCTATCAACACCGCCGCCCTGCTCCCGATGGTAAACCTAGGTGTAGAGAACAGAACGACCAATCTCTTCATTGTAGCCTTCCTCATCGCCGCTGCGGACGAGGTGAATCTGTTCTGTATAGATGTCAGGCGACTGCAGATCCTCGAATATTGTATCACGGATGGCAGTGCTAGAGAGAGGTCTTTGATCGTCGTCCTCAAAGTGTTGTAGCCTCGTCGCGGTACGGTTGAAAGTAGTGCGTTTTGTGTTCCTGAGAACCGCTCCCGATAAGGCTGTAGCGTGCCTTGGCGGCAGTAAACACGGTCGTCCCTCCTTCCCCGTCTCCGCGGGGAATAAAGTGAACGTGAAAAAAAGTCATTTCCCCCCACCCCCTAGTCCGAAGTTGAACCCCGATGAGCTGAAAACTTCTGAGGATGTTAGTAGATAAACATCGAACGGTTAACGGTCCCGGAATACGTAAGAAGCTCGCGTGTGCACGTGCATGTGTCATCACACGAAACCCAAAACAAATAATGCGCCTGTGTATGGAGCTCGACTATTTAAACAACACGAGCAATCGCATGGTAGTGTAAGCGAGCTTATTTACGCTTCCGTAGCACGTTGTAAGCTGACTGATGAGATCACCGGTATGATACGACAACCCTCAAAGGTATACGGTCCTCTTGTAATGCCGGTTTAGTTCCATCCTATGGTAGTGATTTTACCCCCGTTTTTTTCGTACAGGCACCGCATCTTTGCTGCATGAACGGGAACACCGTAGCGAATCCAAATCCTTTTTCTCATCAAACGTTCTCAGTGTCGTATGTAACCATAAATGAGTGATCTACACAATCAATAACTTCTGGTGCCCCTTCCGGAGGTCAGCGAGAGGGTTGGGTGGACCGTAAAATAACAATACAAGAGCTTGACACTAAACATGAGTAGATATCATGACCAACAATTTAAATATTTTAAGACATGAGAAGATATGTAGATATACAGTTGCTGATGTATGTATTCTATGTTGAGTTCGGGAAACGTGTTCCTGCAGCAAGAATCACGTTGCATTGCATTGGAGCCTCATTTTGATCCCAAAAACTCGAGTTCAGCTGTACTAGGTACAATGTCTTCCCCAGGCCGGATAATAGGTAATCACTGAGTACATGCACGCACATGTATGTATAATAAAGATGCAACCTTAATATCACTCCACTATGCAGAACTTAAGTACTAGTATTTCGCTGACGTTTTTGAACTGGGCCATTATTGCATACACCCAAAATCATGAGCTTGGCGTATTTTTGTATGGCATGCAATATCAGTCGCGTCCACAAACGTCAGAGAAATACGAGTATACATAGTATTTATGTTGGTGCATGATTATAGTCAAAGGTAATTGGTATCGTAGCTATAGTATCATCCCAAGTAATCCAAACAAAACCGAAACCAAGAAAGAAAGAAAAAAAACCCAGGCCCAACAATCTAAAAAGGAAATAAAAGTACAAGTCTAACGCCTCATGTTCCCCCACCCACGACCCCCAGAACCATTTATCCTGTATGAAAACATCGACGCTAGAAAATATCGTCCATCATGCATGACCCAACCGAATCCCCAATATTATCAAACTCTTGATGAAACAAATAGATAAGGAAATTTAAAAACAAAAGAAAGGTCCTCGTGTGTTTTTGTCGTTCTGTCCTTTTACGCTTTGATGCCTTGCTCTCCCCGGTCCCATCGAGAATAAATAAAAACAGTCTTCATGCCACCTTCAAAATATCAGCAAACAATCATAGCATCCCAACAGGAGCAGCAGACATACCTGATATACATCACATCTCTTCTATGAACACAATATAGGTCTCAATGCGTTTAAGTAGAGTTGAACCAGGTCTTGGAGGAGTCCTTTGCCGACTGGTTGATATAGTTCTGCAACATCACGCTTTGAGTGGTAGCAGGTTGTTGGCCAGACGATTGTGGGGTGGAGTCTGGTGGGAGCGTTAGTATGGGGGTTGTACAGTAAAGGACGACATGAAATCCTTACTTGTGCTGGTGCCAGCAGGAGTGGCCTGGCCCTTGTTGGTAGAGTTCTGGGAAGGCATGGCGAGAGAAAGAGGAGAGAGGTAAATTGAGAAATGGAAGTTGGAGGAGGTGATTGTGTCTATGGGTAGAGACAGAGTACGGTTCGATGAAGGAACAGTGAGGCGGGAAACGGCGCTCTTATATTGTCTGGCTGGTCTTCCCTTGTGTCACTGTGCGGATAGGCTCGAAACAGGCGTGCGGATAGGCTCGACACAGGAGTGTGGATTGGCACGGCGAAGAAAGATAATCGAGAGAGAAGATATGATTGGGTTCCAAGTGGCTAGATGTGATATCTAAGTTGTTATTTGAGGATTGTTGGTGATGATGAAGTAAAGGGAAACTTGGTCGTAAACATGGACTTGTACAGTCCTTATGTAGTTCTGGGAGCTAGAGCAGGTGGTGCTATGTACTTCTGTAAATGCAAATGCAAGTGGATCCTGGTAGGAGGTGGGTGGTGGGTGGTGGTGGTGGGAGCGAGGAGAAAAAGGTGGGGAGAAAAGCCTCAGGGGCATTTATCAGGTTCTGGAGAAATGCTCTTAGATACTTTTCACCCTATATGCCTTGCAACATTGAGAAGACTTCACCCTCCTTCTCTCATCCTGTTCGCGAGCAAGCCGACCGCACCCACAAAGGTCTGCCTAACCTCGTCCGCGCCACCACCACGTTCGAGACTGGGAGCATTATTGACAGAACTCCGCCCTGAATGAATCTAGGCAAATAAGAGAGCGTCGGAGGTGTGACATAGTTGATGCGGGGAGCAGGGCTGGCAGGGGTCGTTGACACTGAGCGTTGGGTGTGTTCGTTGAGCTTCCCGCGAACAGGCGGGGAAGCTCTAGAGTGTTTTGTAGTTTGAATCTGCGAGAGAGCTCTCAAAGTGCGCACGCGGTTATGGGAGGCCATTATTGTGAAATACAGCTAGCTGCAGCTGGTCGATGCCCATGAACGCGGTGATAACGGTGACGTCTAGCTGGTCAGCCATGATTACCGGGATTGTAAATTAATTTGTTGCATGAAAAGAACTTGTGTAATCTCAGGCTCAAGTTAGGTCAACTTGATGAGTAGGTGCTAGCACGCAGCCGAGTCGGGTGAAATAAAAAGAATAAGAGGTGAGCATGAGGAAGAGAAGGGACGTGTATGTAAGAGAAATCAGCTCGGCGGTTAGAGGTACATGATGTTCTTTTCAAGCCCATCCGCTAGTCCTAATCGGGTAATGATCTTTGCCTAATTAGGCCTAAAGTTATTATGTTTTTTTCGGGCAGATTGCACCAAGTTTTCGAGAGGTCGTAGTGCAAGAAGTTCTTATTTGTTTTAAATCTCCTTTAGTGGGAATATTTAGGGCCATGGTTAGAGCCATTTTACAAAAGAACATTGTTTCTAGGCAAGTGTTGTGTTGAAAGTCGATGGGGTGAAGGGGGTGAGGGTTATGGCTGTCCCAGGTACAAGTTGCCATGGCAACGCCCATGTTTCTATAATTGGCCAGGTAGCGAACCCGACACAACTCCTATTTTGGTGATATACGGATCATTCTTACTATTATAGCTTTTATGATTCATCTTGCATTGTTTGCAACCCGTAGGACTTCAACAGAAAGTTTAGATGGATACATGTAGTTCAAGGAGTCACTCAAGGGTTACGGTGTCGATATATAAATGTAGTTTCGAATTCTATATAAGGGCAATTCGGGATTATGGTAATTATAATTATATCGGGCCTTTTCTTCTCCGGCTCCACTTAAGTTATGGGAGAGGGGGGTATTTTTGGACTATTGTAGAGTCACCCCAACTCCGTGCGGGTTTTTTTATATATCTGTATTTATATTTTAGGATCTCTATCTGATCATGAACCATCCTTTATACTCGAAAGACGTATAATATACATATATACATCGGTGCTAAAAGTGGTAATAACCCATCATTGGTATTGTATCACCGGCGTATCTCATAATATGCATCATACTCTAATGGAGTTGATGGTATATAATATAATTATGATATCTATATGTTTATAGCGAGTGTAATTACATGTATGTATACGGAAGGTGCAAGAACAGGCAGTGCCATGTAGTGACCTGGTTTCGGTACCACCACGGTAGTAAGTACCCCGAATTTCGGACTAATAGACCTGGCCGCCTTATCAGTGTGATCCACTCCCTAGTTAAATTTGGTGGGTTAGGTTTAGGGTTAGGGTTAATGTTGCGGAGGGGAGTTTCCGCCTCAAGAACCGCAAGTATGGGCGAACAGCAAGTTACTCGTAGGGGATGGGTACGGGACTAGAGGCAAGCACCTGATCTAAAATGTACTGGCAGAAAATAAATACGAGCTAATTTCTCTTATAGCAAGTGATACTTGCATTGTGGGCCTAGCCAGTCTACCAACATGTCACTCTGTAATATACATGTAGTTAAGTCAGTACTTCATAATGATGAACGTACGTAATGCATGTGCCTACTTATGATGTACAGGTACATGTACTTACATCATGTACAGATCATAAATTATTACTGTAGACAGCCGTCGTTATCGCCGCACCAGACCTGATTCATCTTAGCCGCACACCGCACCTGTGAGATGATTGGGGGAGAAAAGACAGTGGGTAGATCATCGAGGGGCACAGGGTGACATGACAGGCGGGCCGACCCGATCGAGCCCAGGAACGGTACGTACTTTCCGTTGGCTTAAGGGTGCGAGTTTTGAGATGCTGCACTGCCTCACTCGAAGACTCCCCAGGCTAAAGTTGCAGATCGAAAACTCAAGCATTTTAACTCTGCTAAACCGATAACGCAAAAGTAGGCTATAGTACATAATGCTTGTCTTGTTTCTGGTGGTTATAGTTGAGCATACTGAATGCCTTACATGCAGGGGGGCCCCAGGCCCACATCAGACGATTGCAAACGGATAGAAAGTACAGCATTCTGTAGAACCGAGAGTGGAATCTTGCGTGTAGAGGCTAGGAAACGGTGCCGATGGATCATAATTTAGTTAAGAGAAACAAAGTCAGGCCCCAAAACCCTGGGGTTTGCTCGCCGAAGCAGCACGATACCTGTCATACTACAGCAAGACAACGTATGAGCCAAAGGTATTGAGTTATTCGGCGTAGGTACCCAAGGTACTACATGTAAATGTGTGATTGCTTTTTTAGTATTGGCTGATACATGTATATGGTGCCAAGAATGCTGCAGAGCTGAACTCCTAACAAGTCATCTTCCCTCCGAATTCTGTCTCACAATAATATTTTACAAACATCACCTTTAATTGTTTCACACAGGATTTTATTTGCAGAACTAAATGATCGCTCTACGACCGATCTGATTAGCGGCCTATATACCGTTGTAAATTTACCCACTTAAGCTTTCCTATACAATACCTAGCACATTTCCAGGTATTACTTAGTAGCTAACAAAGGCAAAAACAAACGTTTCTTCTCTTGCAGGTTGATGTATGATTATAATGACGTAGTCCGATTGAATTTCGGAGATAAGAAGTACTTTCCCTTACCTTTGGGAAAAAAGAAATGTTAAAAATTGATCGAAGAATGCATGATTACTTATTTTTTGTTTGATATTAATGAATGTTATTCCCTGCTTCAGCTGAAAGGAAACCGTCGGATCACATGGTACTCGAAGTACAAGATTGTCAGTTGCGCACATAAAATTTTCCTCATTTTGATCCAAGGAGTGTCAGCACTCATCCTATGTTCTAGTTCTAGAATCTAGAGTCTAACGTGAATGGGGGATGCTAACTACAACTTGGTTGGGTAAATACATACCACCCACAGCAGTATTTTCCCCAGAAAAGATCTTAAAACATATCTATATTATGGCCCTTGATTCCAAGTGTGGAGTGGGAAGCATGAAACATAGGGCTGTCCGGCTGTGTTGCAATTGTTCGTTGAAGCCTGGACTCTTTATTCCGGCTGATATGTAACGCGCCCCGGGCCCCCATCGGCCCCGCCCTCCCACAACAGAAAGTCTGTGTGCGAATAACTTTTGAAAATACCAGGTCGCTTGGCGCTTGGCGATGTTTTTCTAACGCAAATGAAGAAGTTTAACACATGCACCACACGAGGATGAACTATATTGATGGTAACTAAATGATATATGCTTCCTAATATCAGTAGGCGATATCCAGACTAATGCCGGTGTAAGTAGAAAGGCTGTCAGGCGTCATACTAAAGACTGCAACCCAATCTCTCAGTACGCAGCATGGTGTAACAGAAAGAAAGCTGCTAATTAAGCTCTCGCCAATCTGGCCCTGGTTTGCAATCGATGGTTCCTTACGCCTTATCCATCTGAAGAAAAAAAACCTCGCAAAAAAAAATGTGTAATCTGTGGAAAGAGAAAAATCAGACGTTATTTTTTGCATTCTTTCATTAGTTGAATTCTCCGAAAGTTGCCTTGAACCGGGGTATGGCTGACATTCTTACATCGATCAGGGAGGCCCATGCGTTTAACAGTGCTTATTCCGTGTGCGAAAATTGACTCAATCACGTCAAGTACATAGACAATAGAATCAGTGTTACATGGGGGTTGTACCTAGCTCATCTTGTGTGCATGGACAGGTTCCAAGATCCACTCCTTGCCAGATCTCGATTCGACTCTCGGATATCGGATTACAACGGCTTGTGCGCCGGCTCGTGCCGTGCAAATCAGCCTTCATTAGGTAAGGCATACATATACATACAATGTCGTTAACAGGCTACCCTAGGGTGATAGAGTAAAGGACACTAGAGTACTACTCTAGATAACGATGCCAAACTCTCTCAACCCCCGTCGAATCACAGTGCGTCTAATAAGTACTAGTACTACAACTATTATGTCCCGTATATTTACCTACAGGCATCTCTAGATGAGCCTGAAGGATATACAGACAAGTGCAAACCACATATATAGCTATCATTGGCGCTGCATAGCTACATTAATCACGGGCTCCAGGCCCGTTATTTTGAGCTCCATGGCCACCGGACGTTGCTCCGTCGCGCCCACCAAACAGAAGGCAACGGGGCCGCGGTCACGACGGAAGACCCTCCGTCTGAGGAATAAAACACAAGAGCTGTCCCGGATTTTAGAGAATGTGGGGAGCTTGGGCATATTTCTAATTGGCGATATCCCGATGTTCTTTTAACGAGCATAAGAAGATCAATAGGTCACATCATCGATCAAGCTACCTATGGTTTTCGGCACTTCTAGGAAGATCCTTCTGCCTGCCGGCCCCCACCATCGCAACCCTGGAACACAGCATCAAACCAACAGATCGCGTGGCTTTATGTGATGCGGTGCGGTGCAGCTCACAATTATTCGATTTTTTGGGGGGTATGTTCTATCTTACTACCAGAAAATAGCGCATTTCTTACCCTCATGGCATGCTATCTTTGTAGGCGCACTGCATCTACGATCTTTGTGCAGTTATCCGCGCTAGAATAAGAAGAAATATAGGGGGAGAAGAAAACGGATTTGTTGAGTTCTGAGGTGCGAACAGTCCAATGTACTCGCCGAATGTCTACATTATGTATGCGCAACCGTCTCAGTTACAACGGCACTAGTAACAGCTATGACGCGAATCCCAATTAAGACGAAATAGTAGGCAACAACGCTACACGTTAACGTCAACATTAAAAAAGTGTTGAATTTCTCACCACAACTTGAGGGCCATGATATCGCTCCGCAAATAGGCAATAAAAAACGCCTTCCTAAGGTCATAAATAGATCCAACATATTCCGATGCAGTACCTTACACGTTTAGAAAGACGACACTAGCTTTGAAACCCCCTGTTGACATCGAATTATGATAAGTCCTAGCTAGGCCTGTCTAGACGTAACGTCGATGGAAATATATATAGGTACTTGAAAATAAGGAATCAAAACTAAATTCACTATCGAACCAGGGGGAGCAATCTTTACTACATGTAGGCGCGCAGGTTTAGCAACGATAGGATCTTGGCAGTCTAGCAACCTCTGGAAATATTATTCATCATCATTTTTCGGCGACCCCATATGCGTCAAACCCGTTTAAACTAACTTGCTACAAAAAAAAGGAAACAAAGAAAAAGCCTTGAGCCAGAGCCTTCCCCGTTCACGGGGCGTTTTTTCGAGACCGTGAACATCACACAACGTCCAGTGTCTCTCACACTCGGTAGTGTCGTGAGTACCAAGGTCGCAGTAGCTTTCGGAACCATCGTAGTCGCGGCCGGTACGTTTATGGTGCCCCTTGCGCTGGAAGGGGATTCAGAACTGCCGTACTCACGGCCTATAATAAAATTAGATGTGGAAAACAATTGGAGGATAATTGGTAAAAAAAATACCTTGAATCTAGACAGAGCAGTGTCCTTGTGGTTAAGAAATAATCAGAACCCTTCGAATCATTGGTTCAACAAGCTTAAGTTCCTTGCAATGGCAGCCACGGATTCCTCGTTTGGTGTCTGATCCAGGAATCGTTCCATCATTGGGTTTCTACGAACACCCTGTGCGCCAGCAGCGGCTGCTTTATTTCTGTCAGGACTTGATTTCGGGGAAATAGGGAGAGATGACATACCACCAGCAGCTCCAGCGGTTGGGTTGGTTGTTTGAGCTCCTGCTTGCCCTTGAATATTGTTCAGTGTCTGCTGAGTTCCGTGGGTAATGTTGGTATCGGTCATTGTTGAAATAAAAAGGTGAAGTGAAAAAGAATATGGTAAATGTAATCTGGAGCTAGAGGCCGTATGTAGCAAACAAGGAACAATTTAATAGCTGTGAGGGACTTTTGCTATTGTCGTTGTAGGTATGATATGATATAAGAGTCTAGGTGTAGGCAAAGGTACTACGGTGTTAATAGAGCTTTTGCTTTCTGGTGAAAGTACAGAACTTTGGAACAGATTGGGGAGTGGGGAGTGCTTTATATATAGAAATGAAGACCAAGGCTTTTTTTCTTTTTCGTCAACTCTTCATTCAGTCTCGAGCCTGGCTAAGGCTCGCACCAGCTAGTTGTACTGCTTCGCCATGCAGTGTGCCAATGAATATTACTTGCTCGTGCAAGATTGACGATTCACCGAGCAGTTCTTTGAAATAATGGGGCGAGCAAATCTGCAAGGCCAGACCCGAACACTTGGCTTCATGGGGAAACTTATTGGAACAGTAATCACTTCGGATCCGGAAAAACCATGTTTATTGTGTCTCAGTGTTGTCAGGAATGAAAATCTCCTTCATTCATAGTACTCACCAAACATCGTTTATAGCACGTGGGAGAACGTATGTTCCAAGCGCCACATGATTTTCCTGCAGGTACGATAGGGCTTTAATCTAAGCTGAACTACATGTAACTGACATTAACTTCCAGAACCTATATGCATAAAGCACAAACCACACATCCACTTAAGTACATGTACTTATATGTACGTACCTAGACCCTAGGTAAATATATATGTTGTCTAAAAACGTATAATACCTTATGCAGTTGGTTGAGTTATGGATAAAGGGCAGGCGGGGCTATTCTAGTTGGTTGAGCTGTCCACGCCAACCAACGTCTCCAAAGTGCTTTTCTGTCGATATTTAAGGAGTAAGAACGGAAAGATGTTTGCTTCGCCATGAACTGCACCTTAATCTCGACTAAATCTAATAGGTACTGAAGCAGTGCTTTGAGATCTTCTGGGACCTGCAGAAGGCCGGGGTGATGATTTTTACAATTTAGGCTGAATAGCCTATCATGTATCTAGCTACATAGCCGCTGATCTATAATGTACTATCGCTAAGTTTTCTAACATTGGAACGGTTTGATTGGCTGCTGAGTGCAGGGATGTTGATTAGTCAGCACGACACATCAAAGTACTGAGCACTCACGAGAGGACGATGGGGCCGAAGGCCCCTCATGATTGTAGTGGGAGAATTAAATTTTATTTAATACCCATAATCCAAAGTACAACTCGCGGTCGCGAGTTGGCACACCCCTAGTATGTATGTACCTACATACATGTAGTGCAACTACACGTATATATGGATAACTTGTGTATGAGCCGAGTAACCGGTAAAGCTTGCTAACGAAAAGCCGGACGCGAACAAAAGTTAAATCGTTAAAGACTCAGCAAACAAAATCTCCATAGACTAACTAGCTTCAGTTCTTAAAGCAAAGGGGGCTGACTTGTGTTCCATCCCCGGCGTGGCCTAAAGATCTAAGGCTGACCACCAATTGCTATATCAATGATAAATATGCAAGGATAAAGACTCATTGCAAGGATGTCACTTGTGGGTTTGTGTACTTCGCTTGCTAAGTACATAAGTATTTTCTGTGTGTACGTATTGTGCGCACCATATCGCGTCGTCAACTTCCGGGGCCCGTACTGTGCTAAACGGCATCCCGTCAAAGCCACACTGAAATGCGATCTTTCATCGTAAGGTAGCCTGTATTCAAGTCTAGACCCCCCGGACCGTGCACAACACAATGCCCTTATAAACTTAATATATGTAAGGCAAATGAGACGATGGACCCTTGTTTATAATACCTTGAGCCTTCTGGCGCCTTGGCTTAGATATCTCCCCGGAGTCCCATCGAATGCATCAAAGCTGCCTTGTGATGGCTAGCTGTGTATACACGTTTTCACATATGATCAAGAGAAACGTAGAAGCTAGGGTAGAGAGACTTTAGAACGGAATGGGGTAGGTGAGACTCCGTGGTGCATGAGTGGCTGGCCACTGATAACGTCCAGACGTGCATGTGCCGAGTGGGCTGTAGAAGAATCCTTGCTCAGACTCTACACACTTTGTTTAGAAGGGACGTGAAACAGTTTAGCCCAAATATATCTCGATCTCGAGTGATCACACATGATGGATCTTTTAATATATGCCTGTTTTCTGTGGCTGGATGTTGATGAACAAGTCTTTAACCAGTTTACCATGTTGATTTGACCGAAGAAGCTTTTGTAAAACAGCGTGTAGAAACTTGACCGCGGGTATGTCCAATGCTTTGCTTTACTCGCTCCAAGATATCGGTTTCAATTCCGGAGACTGTATGCTGAGATAATGGCGGTAAATAAGCGGGGGGATATAATTATCTTCACTGCCCTGTTAATTGCGTTCATCTCTATTGCAGCTACTTTTCGCTTCTTGAGAGGCATTGATCCAGAGTAAGATACATATATACCGACGTACATGAGCAAGAGCAAGAGCACTGAGTGGATAGGATAGGATAAAGGCCCATAACATACATTGCAGCAATTGTCACGGCCATTGAAGGCAGTGTTAATTCCCAAATGAGGGGAAATAGAATGAGCCTGGAAGTAGCATAGTTTACGCTTTGGTGTGATGCAGCACGCTCCGGAGGTTCCACTATTGTGCTATTGGCGAAAAGAACGGCTTATTAGCTAGATATAGATGCATTTTCTATATTTCGGCTTGGCATATGCATCGTTATTGGGTATGCTTGCTTGGGCCTTGGGTAAGTGATGCGGGGATGGGGGTATTCACACGAGTGGAAATACCTATAATATGAAAGGGTCCATTGTGATCATTGGAATTTTCGCTTGCAATTGGGTGCATATATACATTATATGTACTTGCCTCTTTTTTGTTACAATTGGTCAGGGTTGATCTATGCAGTATCAGCACATGATACATATCGCGGAGAATCGTAACCCTATAAATCAGCTTTTAATGGTCGAAATGTTTGAGGTTGATCTGTCATACACGAAAAAAAAAAATATATATATCTTTCTGTATCCACCGATTGGCGATGTGACAACCAGTTGCAATTAGATGTGAACTACAGCGTGCTCTTATTTAAGCCCGCAGGCTTGGCACATCATGTGATTGTGAGGTAAGCCCAATAAAAAGGCTTTATTCGTAATGCATTGCTGGCTAGATATAGGAGAAATTTCGACCTGAAGATATCGTTCGAACTGCGCTGGTGTAAGACAATATGGTGGCAAACCCGTTTCGTCCTGGGATTTGTGCTTTTGAATCGGAATCGAACCTAGAAGCTTTCAAAACGGTTGTCAAGAGATGATATGTCTGCAGGAAGAATGTAGATCATCGCGGTTAATGTTGTTTAGGAGGTATGACACGCGGCCACTAAAAGCACTATGTAACTTTATAATTTAGGCCGCGTCCTGGCAACCACGATCTCAGATATTGTGATGTTACGACCTGCCCATGTAGCAACGGAATATGCCAGGACCGCAACCTGACAGGAATAAAAAATTAGAGCATGTTCTGCTACCAAAATATTTCAAGTTTTTGATCAAGCCTTAAGCTTCGTAAGCCACAACGGAGGTGAATAAATTTCAGAGCCCTAGTAATATACAACATTTGGGTTGGTGAACTTGGTGCTAAGTCTGGTGCTAGCGCGGCGAGGATTGTGATATGAGCTTGAATATTCTGGTCTGAGCAGAATATTTTAGATCATGATATTGGGGCTCTAACAGGATGACAAATATCGTAAAAAGTGGTTGCTCGAACACTACCTTCAGAAATAATCTCAAATATTGTGCCAAGACGGCCGAATATCGTGATATTCGTTGCAACAGGACGCGGCCTTAGTATTTAATCCTCTGGCCTGTCAAGTAGTGGCCGGGTAACCCTCCATCTTGATAAGATGGAACCCCTGCCGGCGCCGGCCTCCTTGATGATCTATAGCTAGTAGAGTAGATATTATTATGGACCCGCAAAGAGAGGGGCGAAATTAACCCCTTCGAGGCACAGCCGAGAACATGTACACGCCCCTAAAGCATTCAGGTTCCTGCTGAATATTAAGGACCCGTTTGGTTACACATTGGAACGGAGTTTTGGTGGGCAAACCGAGTTTCTTTTTGCATAACTCCAGTTTCACGAAACTGACAAGCAACATCGTTACTGGTGTTTGGTAAACCTAAACTTCATTTTAAAAAATCTCCGTTTATGCTCGCCTAACGGAGCAGTTGCCAGACGGAGTTTTGAAACGCCAAAACAACCAAACGGGCCCTAAGATTCCCCTTAGCGGGGTGGAACCGCAGAACTAGTGCCAAGCAAGGCGTATAATGCAGATTTATCTGCGTACATCTGAGCATCCTGGAACTGGTTCCACATGCACAGATCATCACTCGATGTGTAGTGATGGCGGTACAGTACAGCGATAGGGAAAATTATTGTAGAAGTATGGTAAGAGTCCTATTGGCCGGGGCAGCTACCTAAACCCTGTTTTTAGACCCTTGTTTCTACAATAATTTTCCCCATCGCTGTACATGGCATACTAGTACAGATCATTGCTCTTTTCGCCCAAGTTCAAGAACAGATTGGTCAAGTTCAAGAACAGATTGGTCAAATTCAAGAACAGATTGGTCAGGTCCAGAACGAGTACGTCTTTAGCATTACTCACAGTTCAACTAGGAAACAACTCATATCTTGCCGATGAAGCTGTACAGCTCTGGTGCTAGCGATTCTGCATCGCTCCGCTACCCAATCGGAGTACACGACGTCCAGTAACTGCCGCAAACGCGTCGTGACCTTATTTGATTTACTTGTAGGCTTTCCTCAATTCTTAGCGACTGGTTGACGTTGCTAAATGTTTCATAATTATCAGCAAATCAATCACAGGCACTCGGACTTCCTCCATTGCTAGTCGACGCCGAGGTCGACGCGGGTTGGCGGCAGATTGCCGAACACATTGGTGTTACGTATTGAGGTGGTACTACTGGCAGTTTAAGGCGTGAGAGTGGGATAATAGAATAGAATGATCGGGAAAAAAAGCGGAGTGTTAAGTGAGGCAAGTCACTTTATGTCGTTTATTGTGGTTACGACCGAGAAAGATACTTGTAGCTGATTATAAGCACTCGTAATGGCGGGAATCTCTAGACTGTGTAATAGAGCCTATTTACTAACCGTCAATTCTGACAATTGACACTTCGCCACTCTCCAAAGTGGCATCCACAAGTGTCATTTTTTATGTAGGTCGCTTACCGGGCTGTGAAATACGTTAAAAATATACCAATACACTTAGAAGACACCATAGTAGTTCATGTCATCCTATTCCTGCAGCTTGCGCATTTCATATCCCTATGGAGGGGAAGTGTCAATGAAGGATTACAGCACTTGCGGATAAGCCCATGGCAACCTTCTTCGAGCGAAAAAAAACAAAAAACAAAAGGAGCAAGCGTCCCGCATACAGACAACCAAGACTTTGTGGCAAAATTACATACCCAACGTGATATCATAGCTGTCATCAATATGTGCAGTTAACTCTTTGGCGCTATGCTATTTATTCGAAATTTGTTTATGGACTCTAGCTCTATCGGCCCCTGAGATTCATATCTGAATTGGTACGAAAGTCTATCACATTCCTTCATGATAATGACTCTGGTACGAGGCAGTCATGCGAAGATTGCGCATCCAATCGACCCTGGTAGCATTGCTAATGCAGGCCGCGCAGCATGAATATTTGTAATAGCTTCAATCATTTATAGACTCAAGATTTGGGTTCCATAAACAGTACTTGGCGGTAGTGGTTTAACTGGGAGATATAGTTAGTGATATGCTGTATATATGTAGAGAATCAATTCGGCATTATAGCGCCAGAAAATACCTAATATTCCGACGCGATGGAACATTTGAACCTTATGAAACGTCTTGGTACCGCATAATAAGTTATTTTCTGATGCATGATTCGCTGTTGATGTTGTCCAATTAACTACATAAGCTGATAGTTTTCGGTATTACCGGTATAAGGCCATGCTACTACATTCCATAAGCAACCCCAAACAATGGACACGCACGCCCACTGTATCCCTGTGTAAGCCATAGGCCAGAATACATCCACCCATCAAGCAAGAAGCACGGAAGCGAATAGGTAATGCATGGGTAGCAAGTAGGCAGAAAAGACAAAGGCGTTTCATCGGAGTTCCCGTTGATCGGCCAATGAAATTACCGAATCTCCAAGGCTGTAAGTACGATGTATTCAGCTGAGAATGAAGACAGAAGAGAGATTCCCAACCCTTGATATAGAATGGCATCCGTTATACATTTGGTTATCAGAGTAGATCCTCAGATTTGTTTCGTCAACATTACACGTAACCTCTACAAACATTCTTTCTAATAGCTTATACCTCAAGGGAAACATTGTTGCCTAGCGTGATACGACGTTTCTAGAATAGAGTTCGAGACAAGTATACACATGTATCTCTACCACCTTTCCTCCTTCGATACGAGGCTAATCAAACTTATTTTTGCCTCGTATCCCGTCCATGCATTCCTACATCAGAGAGAAGCACAGCATCAGGCTCGGTACCCCTCCTGTCTCTATCGAACATACGACACCCAAAATCGGTGAAGCTGGAGTGGTGTAACAATCCCAGCCACGAACCTGTTTCCAACGCATTCCCAGTTGGAAATCCAGCCCAGGCCGAGCCTGAAGCTCTACCATACCAGATCGAGACCAAAATCTCACGAGCCTGGTATCTGCAGCCTGGATCAGCAGACTAGAAGCTTAAAACGACGGCTTGCGTGGCTGGCCAGTGTCATAAACCGAAAAGTGGCCAGTGTCATAACCCGAAAAGTTTTCTCCACTTTCTGCGACTCGTGGTGATCTTCCGCGACAGCCTCCACGTCGGATGCGTGGTGCCAGGCTCGAGCCCAGTTCCCGGGTTCACGTTGAGACCCTGGCCGATCAGGTTTGGCACATCGATTTCACCGCCTTCTGAGACTTGTGATAGTCCTCGGCAACAGTCTCTCCTCCGTACACCAAGGGCATCTGACATGACGATTTCGATGTTGTCCGGATGCATGCTGCCAGGCTCGAGCCCAGTTACCAATCTGATCTGAGGTCTCGGGTGGTGTTCTACAACAGTCTCTCTTCCCTAAGTCGGGAGTACCTGACACCATGGTTTCGATAATTTCTGATGCATGCTACCAGGCTCGATCCCAGTTGCCTGTTGATTCTGGGGCTTCTGGCTGTGCTCTGCAGCAGTCTCTTCCCCCTAAGCCGGGAGTCCCTGGCACCAGCGCTTCCATAATTCCTGATGCATGTGCTGCCAGGCTCGAGCCTGCATGTTATTTACCAGGTTCTCCCTGAGACTCTCATCGCTCAGGCTTAGACATACATATGCAGGCTCGATCCCCCAGGCTCGAGCTTAAGTCAACGACTCACTCAAGCCCGACCCGCTGCATAAACGTGGAGAGAAGCGACTTCACGAGGCTTCCTGCAAAGGAACCCCCCTTGATCATGATGCGAGGATCCTTCCTGGGCTCTGCCGTTGATGTGATGTGTTGACGTGTGCTGTCTGCCGTACATCAGGCTCGAGCCTGGTTGTGGGGTTCGGCCCGTACGCGTTCATGTAGCTCAGGCTCATGCAGCTCAGGTTCAAGCGGATCAGGCTCGACGTCAGGAGGAGCTTGAAGGAATTGAATCACTCCGGAGGTCTATCTTCTCTGTTCCTCCAACCTCAGGAGAGATGGCAGCTTCCTGAGATGCTATTGTGTTGTCGTTTCCTGTTTACCGTCAGGCTCGAGCTAGGGTCCACGTATGTACATGTACGTGACTGACATGGCCCGTGCCTCCATACAGCATGCCTTTTTCCGGTTTCGGGACAATCAGGCTCGACCAGGGTGCATGTTGTGCATGAGTGCTCTATTTCCTCCAAATCAAATAACGATAACGAATCATGAATTTAATTATGCCGAAACCTTGGCCCTTTTCAATTATTTGTTGAGATGTGTTGAGATGGCGCAATAACTAATCAACCCGAGTGAGAATCCATGAGTCATGATGCCCCCCCACTTTGAGCCTCACAGAGCCTCACCCCCACTTTCACGTCATGCCCCACCACCGTCCGGGTAACCCCCCCACCACAATTCTGCATCACAGCACAACAGCCCTAACCCACCAACCTCACTTCACCACCGCCTCTCCCGCCGCCGCTTTGCAAACTGCCCCACGCACGCACGCCGCCGCTGCATTTCACGCCCACCATACTAGACTACATACCGAACAGGAAAAAAAAAAAAAAAATGCAGCCAACCGCACCCCTGCACCGCGCCATCCGCCGCCTCGCGCTCACCACGAAAATGGTCAACGGCGGATACTACAAGGGCACGCGCACCGGGTCCATGGGGACGCATACCCGCCGCGGAGGCTTCGTGGTCGATTATAGCAAGGTGCGCACGTATGTCGTGCCGGGTCTGGAGGGGTTTAAGGTATGTTTTGCTCCGAGGTGAATTGGGGTGCCGGGGGGAGATGGGGCGACGGGGGAGTGGGGAATTGGGGGTAGTGGGGAACGGGGGCTAATGGATGGGATTGCGGGGGTGGAATAGTTGACGCCGTTTGTGACGCGTAAGATGGCGCCGACGGTGGGGGCGGAGAGGTATAGCGGGGCCAGCCCGATGAGTGGTGGGTTGTATTTGGAGAGGTGGAAGAGGGAGAATGGTGTTAATTAGACGGGGGACTTGGGGGATAGAAGGAGGAGGGGGGGAGGTTGTAGATATTGTTGGCAGATAGGAATGGGAATGGACAGCTTTTTCTTTTCTCGTTTTTGGTTTTGGATTTTTTAGCTTTTGGCTGTGGAATTGAGGGCGGTGGTGGAGTGTATATTATTGTAGAGTGAATTTACGATTGAAGGTTTTAGAGAAGACAAGAAATACAGCACAAGAAGAAGAAGAGGTTTATTATAGACAGCCAATTCACGATTGCAAGTTTCCCAGAGAAGATGATGTGCAGCACAAGAAGTAGTAGTAATAATATTTACAACGACCCTAAAGTCTCTATCTACCTCCCTAACGCCTCTTACTCGGATCCAACAGATCCATAATGGCCTCCGTATGGCCTCCATCCCTCCTCCCGCCCACCCCTCCTCCGATCCCTCCTCCCATCCCGACGCCCGCCCTCTGCCCCTGCGCAGGCCCATTAATCTCCCTATCCGCATTATACAACGAATCCCACCTCCTCGTCGTGCCAAAGCCCCTCAACAGCGCCGCCGCATCGCCGCCCCCCCTCTGCCCATACATTCCCCGTCCCCCCTCCTCATTCACCGTATCCACATCCAGCAGCACGCGCCCCAGCGCATCCAGCCGCGCCTTGCCAGGAACATACTTCCGCGTGTGCTGCCGGTTGTTGTACAGCTTCAACGGATCATCCAGCCGCATGGCGTCCACGCTCTTGGCCACGAAACCTCCAACACCAATCATGGTCCCGTACGCCCCATTGTAGTTCATGTACCGTCCCGTCACGGCCTTTGGCTCGCCCTGCGGCCCGCCCTCAGCGTCGTTCCGTACCGGCGCTGTGGACCGCGTGTAGTGCAGCCCGCCAGACGGGTGCGTGCGGTGCGGCCGCGTCAGCGTCGGCAGGTCCAGGAACGCCACGACCAGGCGGCCCAGCAGAAACGTGTCTGCGCGGAGCGCCAACATGTCTACCTCCACCTCCGCCGGTGCCTCGGGGGCGGCGGGGGCAGCGGGGGCAGCGGGGGCAGCGGGGGCAGCGGGGGCAGCGGGGGCAGCGGGGGTGTGGGAGGGGCGCAGGTCGGCCTCCGGCTGGCTCGCAAAGCGGCGTTGGTTGCGGGCGACGAACTCGCGGAACTCTGCGCGGCGCGGTTTCACCTGCGTATCGATATAGCGCGCAAAGTCGCCTGCTGGCATGTCGGGGATGTACGGGCCCTTGAATCGCCATGTGTAGCTCTCGCGGTGGGGGGCGTCGGGGGAGAAGTCGAAGACGCTGTGGCGCACGGTGTACATGCTCGCCAGGGCCGAGGAGTCGATTGTGGGCCCGCGGAGCAGCGGGATGTCCATTTCTTGCCACTTCTTGAGCGTGAGCACGTCGTCGGAGGCGGACTCGTAGGTCGTGAAGTGCGCGAGTGTGTCGAGGGCCGTGTAGCGGAGGAAGGGGTAGCGGGTTTTGGTGGGGAGGTCGCGCTTGAGGCCCCAGTTACCGCGGGAGTGGGAGGAGCCGGGAGTGGTGATGGCTTGGACGGTGGGGTGTGGGGCGACGTCTGGGTTGGTGAGGAAGTAGGAGGGGGGCGGGGGGACGGGCGCGGGCATGGAGAGGAGGCGGGAGCGGCGGAGGAGGGAGGCGCCGGGGGAGAAGCGTTTGGCGGCCGACATGGTGGTGTGCTGCGGCCCAATTGAGCGGTGTCTGTGTGCTAGGTCGGTGCTGCCGGTGCTGGGTGCCGCTGGCTGGAGAGATTGGCCGAATCGGGTGGGTGCGAGGTGGCCGGGGGAGGTCGGTGAAAATTCTGGGAGACCGGGTAACAGGGCGTCACAGACTGTCACTCGATCGGTGGTCAATGATTGAACGGCGCCCGAATCGCTTATGTCCACTAGGAGCAGCCGGTGATTCTAAGACATACACCGGGATATGTGTGTGGGTCTCTGTAGATCTGCGCGTGATTTATACCGGAGCAGCTGTTGCGTCATCCGTTCGTTGGTAGGTGCTGATCGTTTGGACAGCATAGCTCCTGGGACGTCGTCAGAGTGTGTAATACAGATCAACGTGCGTACATTAGTAGCCACCCGTCGACTCATGTAGATCACTCACCGGACAGCGAGCCAACGTAGCTACATGTGTATCTCACACATTTTTTATCCCTCTGTTTCGGATCCGGGAGTTGTCTCAATCCTCCGAGGGACGCGAAAGTCCCGGGACGCAGACTTATTAAGCCTTAAACCTCGAGTTATATATACGTTATGCATATTATGATATTATATAATCAAATATTCACAATGTAAGCCCTATCTAAATTCGGGATTACATGTCATTACAATCCAAGGTGCACTGCGTCCCGACGCACTGCACTGCACTGTCGATCCAATGTTGATCCGCGATCACGGTAGCTGGATGTAACCTCTGGAGATCTGAGCACGCATCATGGCGGTCAGCCAACCCAAGATCAACCACACACACAACTGCCATGTGCAGAAACGCAGGAACCACAAGCATAACTATGGTTCGGGACACTTACCACCCACATGCACGCCATCCCTCCGTGCGTTTTCAAGACATGTGTGGGATCGGTGGCAGCCCACCATACAAATTGTAGACGCTAAGGGTAAATGTCGGCTGGCGGTCCAAAAGGTAGTGGAGTGTGCTATTAACATGTATGTTGTGATTACCGGGATCCGGGAACAGACGAAGGGATATAGACCGCCTATCATCAGTGTGCATATGCGCAAGCTTAAGACATGTGTGACGCAGTGGATGTTTCTCGATGGCCAAGAACGATGATGACTTGATTGATGGACGTCAAGAGGGCGGTATAAATAGCAAGCGACCAGCGACCAGCGACCAGCGTCCTCCTCGATCTTAACGTCCCGTTGTCTTGTTGGTCAACTATACATGTCCTTAACCGACCCTGGCCCTTATTAGAAGCTTACCTGTACTCTAGGTACACAAGGCCGCGGACCAGACGTCGACCCGCACTCCCGGGTTTCGGGTTTAGGCGTTATACGTTACCCACTAGGCCGACTCCAAATCAATACCATAGAGACGTTACATCTTGGCGCATATACATATATATACCTTGTACCCTGCGTACGTTCTACCACTCTTATGCTCTTCTCCCGGTAACGGCACAAAATCAATATAATATGTTACGCGGTAAGGTATTTCACCCCCGTACATGACGAGTTGAAGGTCGCTGATATTCCGATAGGACCGGTATGGCTACGATCGACCATGGCCGGCCAGATTCCAACTTTGGCGTCTACCACTCGAGCTCGAGGGATGAGAGAATACACGCCGCGCCCTTTCATCCGACCTTGGATCGAGCTATCCGCCAGAGAGACCCCCGCGGCCGCCTATAGAGATACATCTTACTACCGGAAGGCCAACAGAAACCGACAAAGCACAAAAAGGAGGAAGCACATATTACTCGCAACCCGCTTCCAAATACAGCAATGCCGACAGAAACCACCATCTGGTCTTACGATCAATCTACCGTCCGCTGCCCTACTATCCAATTATCCCTCCGAGTATCTATCACTAATCTCACCAATTTACCAAACCACCCCCGCAAACCTCTTCCGGCTGTATCTACACCCTTAAGCTTCCAACGGACCAGGCAGCGATCCCCCACAAGGCAAGGCTCGACGCATAGATGGTACAGAGAATACCAGCTATGAATAGATCTTATCGGGTTAACAGCACCTCCGCGGGGGGTGGTAGATAGAGGACGGAACGACAGTTCGCTGTGCGGCGGGAGATGGCGGGGTGGTTGGGCTCAATGCGGGTGAGAATTGGTGATTATTGAGATTGTGGTGCTGACCTTATGGTGTTAGGTTTAGGGTTGTAGGTAGCTCGTGCAAGGCGTGGTGGTGAGTGAGTGGGTGAACCTTGGTGGCTAATAGTTGGCAAATAGGTACTAGCGGGATTGAGTTGGAGTGAAAAAAACTTGGGACAGGGCTAGTGGTGGATTGCGGGCTGGGAGGGAAGGGAATGTCAATCGAGAGGGAGTAGACTGACTCGTCACTCCTAAAAGAGGTGTATATCAATATTCTAACTATTGGATCAAGGTTTAATAATAATAATCTTTACTTTCACTTTCATAAGCCCCTGATTCAAATTCAAAATCAAATATTCTAAATCTACAGCGGACACGACAACCCAAAACTACCCGTGCAAGATTCATCCCGCAGCACATGACCCGCAGCCCCGAGAAATCTACATTATGTAACTAACCCGCCCCCACCCCCGGCCCCGGTCCCGCCCTAAGTTGCAGTAACATTCCAACTCGGCCTTGGCAGTCTTCTGGTATAAACCCCGCCAAAAAAATTTCCCTTGCCATCCCTCTCTCCGGAAATTATTCTCTCCTAGTTCGTTCCCAACTTTCATCTTCCCCCAGTTTCCTCTTGCCCAGTTTTTCTCTTACCCAATTCTTTTTCTTTTCTTCCATTTTTTATTTTTTTATTTTTTTTATTTTTTATTTTTTATTTTTTTTATTTTTTTTATTTTTTTTATTTTTTTTTATTTTTTTTTATTTTTTCATTTTTTTTATTTTTTATTTTTTTTCCCTTGACACCATTGAGCTGCTGTACGTACTGCTCCAATAGTGGGATAGGTTTGATACATCTCCAGCTGAAGTCGACTCAGCTCAACTGGGCAGATGGTCAAACCTATCCCACTATGGGATGCAATTCCCTTTCCTTTTCCCTTCCTTCTTTTCCTCATCTTTTCTTTCCTATCTTTCTTTTCCTACCTTTCCTTCTTATCTTTGTTTCCCTACGTCCCATTCCAATTCCCCCCCTCTCCCCCTCCCCCTCCCCAGCTCCATCTGACGGCAGAATAGGTTGAGCGTCGTTCTTAGCATGGTTGTTCACCAACAGCCGAGAACGCTCATGAACCTATCCACCCGTGGGAATGGGCCGTGGTTCGATGGCGAGATGGGTAAACAACCAGCGATCCAGCGAGCGAATATATAGCTATATAGCTCGCTGGATATCTGGTTGTCTACCTATTTCGCTATGGGATTCACAGTGGCTGACTTCCTGGCTGGTTCGATGGCGAGATAGGTTCCATTCCAACACTCATGGCAGTGACCTTTAGGTCAGAGCCTCGTTTGATGTAATGCGACCTATCTCGTTATGGGATTCAGTTCAGTGTGGGTTTTTTTGGGGGGGATCTTGTGCTCCGATGGCAGGATAGGTCAGTCGATTACGTCTTCAAGGTCTTACCGTCTGGTTCAATCTGAAGATGTGATCGACTGACCTATCCTGTTATGGGATGCGTGGGGCTAGTGCGATGGCGAGATAGGTCCCGTTCCAACACAAATGGCAATGGCCTATATGGTCGGAACCTGTTTTTGTTGTAATGCGACCTATCTCTCTATATGGCATATATTTGGGCTTCTTTGTGGGTTTTACGCTCCGATGGCGGGATAGGTCGTCAATTTCATCTTCAGTAGCTGACCGTCTGGTTCAGTCTGAATAAGAGATCGAGGGACCTATCCTGTTATGGGATGCGTACCTGGTTGGTTGGTTGGTACATAGCTAGTTCTATGGTGAGACAGGTCCTTCAGTTCTCCGTGGTTCGGCCTTTATGGCCAGCTTGGATTTGTGAGAGACCTGTTTCTTCATGGAACATCGCTAGTTGGGACATCTGGGGGGGTTCTATGCTCCGATGGTGGGATAGGTTTTTAGTCAGTCAACCATTGGGTCCTTTGGTGGACTATGGTGATTGCGGAAACCTATCCTATTATGGGACGCATATTGACCAAATAGTTATGTTTCTGTTGGACACTAGTTCGATGGTGCGACAGGTTCGGTCTGTTCAGCAGTGTTGTCCGGCATTGTCGGGTGGATCGCGTGGTCCGAACCTGTTGCACTATGGAAGCTGGTTAGGATCTCTATGTGGGTTTTTGATTGCAGGCTCCGATGGCACGATAGGTTTCACTGTGCTTTGTTCTCTGCACTGCAGTGGTGAGATATGGTGAAACCTATCCTGCTATGGGATGCGTGGCTGGTTGGGCACTGGTTCGATGGTGAGATAGGTCGTGATTGAGGGCTTTTATTCGAAATCTTCGGATGAATTTCCTTGTTTCGACCTATTTCACCATGGAAGTTAGTCAGGGTCTCCTTGGGTTTTTCTGCTCCGATGGCAGGATAGGTTCATCGGCGCTATAAATGTCAATATGAGGCATTTGTGAGATTTGATGAACCTATCCTGTCATGGGATGCGTGGCTTGTGGGGCACTAGTTCGATGGTGAGATAGGTCGTGACTGAGGGCTTTTATTCGAAATCTTCGGATGAATCTCGTGCCTTGACCTATTTCACTATGGAAGCTATTGCATAGGGTCTCTGTGGGTTTCACGCTTCGATGGCAAGATAGGTTCATCAACATCATCGTGCTCACTGTGCTGAAGCGGTGGCATGTGAATGTGGGTGAACCTATCCTGTTATGGGATGCATGTGGCCAGTTCGATGATGAGATAGGTCCCTCTGAATGGTGTTGGCGTCTTGTAAAGCCAGATGCGAACCTTTTCTTTGGACCTATCTCTTTATGGAAGCTGTGGTGTATGTATAGGACGTTGGGGCTTGTCTTTCAACGCTAATAGATCCTATAGCTATGGAATGAGATCTATAGTGCTAGTGGGTCTAGACTTGTGAGTGAGGTCAGATATGTGGTCTACGGAAAGAAAAGAAAGAAATAGCGTTTAGAATAGTGTGTAGTAGGTCTAGAATCGTAGCATAGGTAATTCGTTGCCCTGCTGTGTTTCGCTTTGGAGTCAATTTAAATTTATTTCAAAAATCGAAGGGCTTGTTGTAAGGTGCAATGTATTGCGCTAAGTGAATGTGTAGAGCTTTCTTGTTGATGGAAAATCTTCGTGATGCATTCAATAGGTAATGAAGTGATGTATCGGCTCTTGTAGGCATATAGGAACAGCGCTCTCTCGAATAAGTAACCATATAACTGACACGTATCATGCCAGTCCTTCAAGATACGGGCATATCGCGGGTAATAAAAAGATTCGTTGGGTAGTATTGGGAAATTTATATGAATCATCAGGATCACTTTTCGGATTACTCATGATCTTTTTTTTTTTTTTTTTTTTATATCATTTCAATTTCTGTTTCTAGGTACACAATGATCGCGTAAAGTATAAACTATGGCGTAAAGAAACCTATCCCCTTTCCAAACTTATAACTCGCCCCCTAATATAAAACAAAAACAAAATTCCAAACAAAATAAAATATAACAAGAGAAAGACAAACGCATATAAATAACAATGAACAATTTAGAGGGAGGGCTAGTTGCCTTTCCCTGTGAAATCCTTCTGGCCATTGGCCTTATGCTCTCAGTGAGACTTTACTAGGACGCGTAGACTGTGGGTATTGGGCCCATGAATGCTGTTGATGGCGTAGAGGAGGAGGAGACTGAGCTGAGGGGGGATGAGGTTCCTGAGCCTGACTCGAGTGGTGAGGGTCCCCGGCTGACCGGGTAGCCTGTTCTGGTTTTGGTAATGTAGGCCCCTAGTAGGAGGGTAAGGGTGTGGTTGTCCCAGATTTCCTCAAGGGATGTAACTCCATCTAAGGTTTGGGAGCGGGTGAGTGCAGAGGCGTTGCATTGTAGTATGGCATGGTCGGGGGTCTCGTCTTCGAGGCCACATTTCCGGCATTTGGGCGAGGTGTGTAGGTTGATCCAGGATTGTTGCGCACGTAGGTAGCTCTTTCCTGATCTTATTTGGTGGATTCTTGTGGCAATAAACTTGTGAAGGTGTGTAAAGGGTAGAGGGGATGTGTCTAATCTGTGCGTGTAGTAGTTCGGAGTTGGGAAATGGGTGCGCCAGTTATCCAGCAGTTGTTGCTTGGCTCTATGGGCCATCTTGCCCTGGTCTACGCCTTCTTCGATCAGGGGGAGGAGCAGGGAGCAGAGGTGTTCAATGGGTGTATGTGCTACCCCTTTCTTCGCTCTGGAATTCCATTTCTTTGGTGGGTTGGGTCGGCCTTTAAGGAGGGCGGTGTGCGAAAAGGTTCGGTCTCGTAGGGTGGTGGGGAAGTGGGGGTCTGTCCTTCCCGTTACTGGGTTTGCTAGTGGGGAGGCTCGGAGGATCCTAATGGCGAATTTGCACTTTAGGAAGTGGAGGTATAGTATTAGGGGGGGGGCTTTTGCTTCTGCCCATAGGACGCGGTTATTGGTGGCTCTGAAACAGCCTGTTGTCCATCTGAGGACTGCATTCCAGAAGGTGTTCATTTCTCGGAGCGCTGATGTTGGGGTGAATACATTGGCTCCATATGTGAGCATGGGACGGATGGCGAGGAGGGCTACTTTCCTGCAGTTTGCAGGTGATAGGCCTTTTCCCGCTGAGGAGAAGCGGTTGAGAATGCCGAAGGCTGCTCTTGCGGAGGCCGTTCTTCTGATGAAGTGGGCGTTGGGGTTGAAGTTAGGGGTGAGCCAGTATCCGACCCATCGTACTATAGAGCTGGGCTGGAAGGTTTGGCCATCTAGGATTATTGGGAGGTGTGAGGTGGGGGACTTATCGCGTGGGGTTCTCCAGTGCATTAGCTCCGTCTTCCCCACCGAGAATGTGACGTTCTTGGGGGAGGCCAGAGCTGTGAGCTTATTGTAGTGGGTCTGGAGTATGTCGATGTTTTCCCTGTATGATGGGGAGGCCACTGTAATGGCCAGGTCGTCTACATAGGAGAGTGAAATGCCAGGGGTGGGGTCGTGTTGGTGGAGGAAGTTAATATAAATAAGGAAGAGAAGCGGTGATATTGGGGATCCTTGTGGGACTCCTACTTGGACGGCTGTGGGGATTTTGGGGGATCCTTTAAACAACAGCGTGATATAGCGGTCGGATAGGAAGGAGAGGACCCAGTTCGTGATGTAGGGGGGGGTGTGTTTTTCTGCGAGGGTGGAGGCTAGGTGTTGTTTGAGGACGTGGTCAAAGCCCCCTTTAATGTCTAGGAAGAGGGTGGAGACTTTAAGTTTGGCCAACTGCATGGCCCTGGTCTCGTGTATGAGTGTGGTGACTGCGTCTCCAGTGGACAAGCCGCTGACTGACCCGCATTGGTGGTTATGGAGGAGTCCTGTGGCCTTCGCTATCACGGCCAGGCGGAGTGTTATTATTTTCTCCAGGATCTTGGAGAAGGTCTGGAGGAGGACGATTATGCGGTATGCGGCAGGGGAGGAGTAGTCCGGTTTGTTGGGTTTAGCAAGGATTACTCCATTGGCAGTTTTCAGGGAGAGCGGGTGATATCCGTGTTGGACGAGCGGGTTGAGGAGATTACTCATGATCTTGCAGTACCAGCTAATATAATTGTTTCAATCAAATCCCATCCAAACGCTTTCGTGCCCAGCCGTGAAACCCTCATCATGCTGGCCAGAAAGAGGGCGACCAGAAAAAATACTTCAAGTAAGCCAAAATCTATCTTGAATTGACTTCCCAGTGTTTTTGTCTCTAGATTGCTAGGATATGTAGTACTCGTTGTAAATCTCGGCGGAAGGAATCCGATCATAGAAAATCACTCGGCTCGAAGGGGCTGATGTGTCTGCTATTCGGCACAAGACACAGATTCGGATCGGTTACCACTTATATAGTAAGAAAAGAATTCTTGGTAAACTCAGATGATGTATGACCTCTTCGAGCTTGTGGAACGCACATTTGTTTATGGAAGCTTGTGCTGGCCAGTTTGACAGTTCGACAAGCTTTGTGTAAAGCCAAACATTGTTAACCGCGCGCTGATCCAGTAAATTTGTCAGAAGGCATGAGGCAAAAATGTGTGGTATTTCTAACATATTCCTTACTTTTGTTATCTTTTTAAATCCGAGTTGATCTCCCGCCAATTCTCCGCCTGCGTTTTCCTGCGAGATTTCCCCCAGATTGTTGAAGCAAGGCTCAGGTCTAGCTTGCATGAATACCTATGATCAAAGTACATTTCGAAGTCATCAAAAGCTGAAGAGATTGGGCAGCTAGAGAGATATGTTTCGTTTCGTCTAGGAGTTAGATGTTCTAGAATCTATCCACAACATAGTGAAGCTGAACCCGCTCAATTATGCGATATGGCAAAGATAATAAGAGCTCCGTTGAGCAAAACCAACAGTTGATAGTCCATAGCTATGAGCATAGGCAAAGATCCTACGTTCCTGACCGCGCTCCATGAGACTGGGCTCTAGTTCGTTTTTCTGGCCTGTCTTCCTTTTATCAGGCTTGATATCTCCAGCTGGAATGATTAACAACGTTCGTTTTTCTAGGCTGTTATATAGCTTCATTGTGTTTTGGGAGCTCTTATTCCTGAGTATCGGGTCGTAAACTACTACCCCGCCCTGTTACGCGGGCCGAGTCAGACCCACAACAATTCCTGAGCCTAGACAGAGGCCTTAGATTCCTGGAATAGTGCGGTTAATACATGATATTGATATTGTCCTTGTTCAGCAAACGCTATCAATGGCGAATAGACCCCGCAACCGCAACTCTTGGTGTGAGACGTTGTTTCTATAGTATATAGTCTGTAATTTCTTGTTTTATGGTGCATGCAATGCCAATACTTTGCTTCCAGTTTGATACTATTGCTTATTTCCTAGGAAATGTCGAGGGAAGCTTTAGTTAGCTTAGACTCCGCACCCACCCCAATGCATGTGTGGCCGCCTTTCAGTAGATTTCTCTTGCAGTGCATATCTACAGAGACTGACTTGTCTCTGGCGGGGAGATCGCTGAGGACAAAGCCGGCTAGCCCTGTTGGCCGGTCCTTTGGTGGCTAGTAGGATGGGCCTTATTATTTGCAGTGGCCCGGCTTCACTAACCCCGTCTCGAGACGGTAGTAGGATACGACTCTAAAATGAATCCTACCTGAGAAATTGAAAGCGAGAGGTGATGGAGCTCCGTTATATAATTCCAGTCCTTTGGGACTATGATTGTGTGCGTGCTCCATGCCCGAGACTTATTTCAAACAGGCACGCCCGATACAAGTATCGAATGTAAATAGATTGTCAGTTGTCCATCTCGTGACGAGAGCTCGATTCATGTCCGGCGAGACTTTCACCATTAGTGAACATGCTATGGGTATAAGCAGCTGCGCCTAGTCAGGGCTGTATTAGCTGTAACTTGTCGGTGGTAGTGGTCTCTAGTAGTGGCCATTTCGTGAATGCCTGTGTCTCAGCTGCGGGGTTTTCGGAGTAGCTGCCTGCAGCGACCATGTAGGGTTAGTTATGTATGCCTTCCAGCGCTTCCGTCTTTATGAGTGTTGGCCTCGCTCTTCTTGTCCATATTGTGAGGGTTCCCATGTATATCGCTACCTACGCTCATGGTGGAGAAGACGATGCTCTCTTATGGTGGCGTAGATGTAGATGTAGCAGTCCAGCAACACGTTCTCGTTATATACCCTGATCAAAGTGATCGAATACGGTTGCCAAGCCTATCCGTATTTCATTGCAAACCCCAATCTGCTTTCTCGCCCCTATAAATTTAACTGGAGGGTACAAGTAGTGCGTATATGCGCCGTTGACGATCCCCATGTGCGTATCTCTTTAGGCGTCACGTTTTATCCTGGATGCGTGGTCGACCTGTCTTGTCTCGGGAGGTACATAGGGACGGGGAAGTGGTTTGCAATTTGCACGAGAATATGGTCGGTGTGATAGCATCTAGAGAAGAGTTAGGTACATGTACACTAGTACCGTGCATGCCCTTTGCTCAAGGTGTGGGTGTGTGGGAGTGCCAAGCCTGCCCGTGTTAAAGGGTTTGGCGCATTAAACTGCTGCAGTTGAAAATGCTGAACCTCCCAATGGCCTAGCGGTATTGGGGTACGGTTCCTGAGGTAGTTTAACCGGGTGACCCCCGGTTTGGCTCACTTCCTGGGCAGGAGGGTCATGCAAGATGTAAAGGCTTATAGACTTATCTTGGGTCACTAGGTTTTTGTTTTTTGTACTCTATAGAGCCCTATGGTACAAAACCATGTGATTTAACTTAAACGGCCACCTCCAGTTTAGAGTAAACCTCAGGTCTAGTTATGATAAACTATGTGTTCGTACTAGGTAAATCTCTAACAGTTATAGTAAAGCTCTGATAGGTTTAACTTCGTAGTATATACGTTTAAAAATTGTTTAAAGAAAATCTGACACAGTTTAAGTAAAACTGTACAATGTTTAGGTTGAACCGCGCCAAGTCTAGTTCTAGTTTAATTTAACATAGAAAATCCCTCTCCCAACAGTTTTTGGCAACTCGGCTGTTTATAGCAAACCCTGCGGGGTTTAGTTTAGGTTGAACACAAAAGCGTTTATGTTAAATAACTGTCATATCCGGTAAACAGGAATGGGTTTAAAAATTTTCTCAGGTTTAAAACGACCCCCTTTTAATTAACTTCCGCATTATGACAGTTTCAATTAAACGTTGCCTAACAAATTTTGTACCATAGAGTCTCCCACCTATATCTTATATCCACTTCCCACCTCCAGTGCACGTAGTTACTCAACTATAGTAGTTGGTCATTCCAGTACTTAATAAATGTTCCCTTTAGCTATCTCCAGTAGTTGCCCATGGCCAGCTCCCACATTGGACCATACGTGCCAGCTCCCGCAGCTGTCCACCTCCTCCGGCGGCGGTGGCCCATTTGGGCTTGGAGATACAGTAATCTGAATCTCAGTTAATTACGGTTCCCACCTAACAGGAGTGATTGATTCTCTCAGTTAATTCAAGCCATAGTTATACCGAGTGCACCTGTGGCGGGAATGTACCTGTGCCGAGCATCTTATCTGATCTCTCGAAATGATAGCCAAAATACTGCCTTTATTATGTATAGATCGGATACGATTCTCGGCACAGGTGCATTCTCGCACGGTCTACAGTACTTCCCACCTCCAGCACTTCCTCCCTCTTTCAACCCACGAGGTTACGTTAGGGCGCTGATAGGAAAACCTGCACATTGATCATTGGCATCATTGATAGGCGAATGATAGCTCATGACTGTAATTTATATATCGGCTGCGACCACGATATGAGACACCCATTTAATACACGGCAAAAGCTCTCGTTTCTAGAAGAGTGGCAGGAGAGTTGGGGGTTGAGATGATTCTCGGGGCTGTGGAAGCTACGGAGGCCATATATTGTGCGCACTCGGGTGCAGGGGGTATGGTGCGCACGGTCTTAAAGGTGACAGTCGTAACTTTGACGACCACGTAGGCCTTTGGGAGTGGGAACGAGAAGGATGTAGCTTTGGGGGCTACATGTACGAAACATGAGCTAAGGAGGTCCCGCTTCAGACGTAGGAGAGCACCAACCTCATGGCGGTGACCATGGGGGAGACCCTATGGTAAATACAAAACAATGTGATTTAGCTTAAACGGCCATCTCCGGTTTAGAGTAAACTTCAGGTCTGTTTATTTATGATAAACTGTGTGTGTTCGTACTAGGTAAACCTCTAACAGTTCTAGTAAAACCCTAATAGGTTTAACTTCGTGGTATATACGTTTAAAAATTGTTTAAAGAAAACACCGAACAGTTCAGGTAGAACTGTACAATGTTTAAGTTGAACCGCACTAAGTCTAGTTCTAGTTTAATTTAACATAGAAAACCCTTTTTCCAAGAGTTTTCGGCCCAACTCAGCTGTTTATAGCAAACACTACGGGGTTTAGTTTAGATTGAACCCGGACCGAAAAGGGTTTATGTTAAATAGCTGTCATATCCGGTAAACAGGAATAGGTTTAAAACTTTTCTCAGGTTTAAAACGACCCCCTTTTGATTAACTCGCGCGAGATGGCGGTTTCAATTAAACGTTGCCTAGCAAATTTTGTACCATCGGGATGCAGTACGCATATCGAGGCACAACCCATCACTCGGCCCGTCACGTGCACGGGGCAACCAACAACAAAAAGAAGAAACCCAGGAGTCATGATTGCAAGAAGTACTCATAACGTCCCACCACCACGGTAAAATCACGTTTATTCAATGAGGTGAGTTATTGATAATCTAAGAATTGGTATTGGCTAGATAACTATAAAGTATACAAAGAAATGATAAAACCCCCAAAATAGAGAAAATAATTAGTATGCTACCCCCACGCCCTAAAACCCCGTCCTCCTCTTCTTCCTCCCCACCGGCTGCCTTCCCCCATGCCGCCCCCTCTCAACCTGACTCATCACCCCAGGCCCCGCCTGACTACTCGCCAGCCCCACCACCTGACTACTCCCCTGCGTCGCCGCCACCACCACCGCCGGCGGCTGCGACCCCGTCCCCAGACTCCAACTCTCCACCTCCCCCCTCAGCCTCCCCACGTCATCCCCCTCCCTGGCCTTCCTCTGCTGCTTCTTCTTCCTTCTTCTCCGCGCCCTCGCCGCTTCGTCCTCCTCGTCCGGCGCATACTCGACCTCGTCTGGGTCCTCGCCCACCACCCACTTCCCCAGCACGCCCGCAAGGTTGTCGGGCAGCGTGATGCGCGCGGAGACGTTGGCGTAGGTGCGGATGCCGAGGAGGTGCTCGGGGTCTGGCGGCACTGTCTGCGGTTGCAGGTTGACGCCGAGCGTGGAGAGGAAGAGGTCTGTTGCGAGCGCGCGGGAGAGGCGTTCCCTGCGCAGGCGCACCCGCGGGGGCGTGTGTTCCGGGAGCGGGGTGACCCACGCGTTGAGGATGCAGTTGTATGTTTGTTCTATGCTGATGCTAGGTGGGTCTGTTGTATCTGTGGTGGCGAGGAAGTCGTCGGCGGTGGTGGCGCGGGGGGAGGGGAGGAGGGTGCGGAGCTGGTAGGGGGTGAGATCGGGGTCGGTGGTGAGGAGGGTGTGGATGGAGGTTTGGAAGACGTCTAAACTGTCGTAGAGCATGCCGGGACGGTGCAGGTTGAGCAGCGTGATAATACCAAGGTCGCCGCGCGCGAGACGGTCCGTCAGTGCTGTTTTGAGGCGGGCTGTTGTCGCCGCGATGGAGTTTTCCGGGTCGTCCTCAGACGCGGTGCGCAGCGTCGGATCAGAGCGTGGAAAGGCGTGTTTGTAGAGGGCGCGGAAGCCGACTCTGACCTCTGCGGGATGGGGCTCGGGGGGGGCGTCTTCGTTGTCGGAGTCGGGTTCGGCGGTGGGAGGGATAGCGTATGCGCTCTTTACCTCTCGGCCACGGTCGGGGTGTAGCGTGATGGAGAGGTCCTTGTTGCTGTATACGCGCTGTGTGATCTCTAGTTCTGGACCTGTGCTGAAGGCCGTGAAGAAGCGGAGGTTCTCATCGGAGAGGTATTCCTCTCCTTTCTCGTCCGTCTGTCCGCGCTGCTTGAGCAGGCACCGGTTTACTGTGAGGCCGAGCTGGACGGGCGCTGAGGCGTCACGGGGGACGAGGCCGGACACGGTGGTGGGGCGGCCGAGCGTGATGGGGAAGTTCTCTACGGTGTTGTGATCGAAGCGGAAGGAGGTGATGAGGTGGTTGAGGCGCGAGTAGAGTAGTGCGTTCATGGTTGTGCGGTCGATCTGCAGGAGACTCATGGCGAGGGAGATGTCGTTCTGGTTGCGGTAGTGCGGGAGACTCATGATGGGCTTTGCGGAGTGACGGAGGTCGAGCCATGTCAGGGTGGCGGAGGTGAGGAGGAAGACATCGTTGGTTTGGCTGGCGCTTTCGGGGCCGCGCTGGAGGTCGAGGACATAGCCCTGGTCGATGCCTTGGTAGACGGGGATGGTGATATCTGCTCGTGTGGAGGGGATGTTCTGGAGTTGTAGATATATGTAATTAGTGCCATATGTATAAATATATTCCCCTAATCTCGAAATAGTTTTGAGGTATTAGCATAGGAGATAACTCACCCTGATATCAAACAGTCCCGCCCTCTTGCGGTCACACGCAATCACACTGTTCACATCAGCGCCCCACAGCAGTCTACCCCACCCAGTACCGCCCTCCGCGCCCACATATCCCTTCCCCATCTCCACCACCTTCACATTCGACCTGATGCGCCAATCCCTTGCCTGCGCGCCCTCAAGATCGTAGACTCGCCACCGGCCGCCCTCGTCAATGATGCCGAACTGCTTCTCGTACCACGGATTAAACGCGACATGGGCGTGCGCCCTCTTCCCCGTCCCGCTAGCCACACTCGCCAGCGGGATTGCCGCAAGCCGCGTTGTCTGCCCCGGCAATGGCACTTCCAACCGCCGCTGCCGGAAAAGCATCGTGCTGCTCGCCGTGCGCACCGCCATGTTCGCTATCACCACACACACACCAATGAGCACAGAAACAGGTTTTATTGATACTATACAATAACAACAGCAAAACCCGGCACTCACATTTCAACTCCCCATCCCTCATCCCCGCTGTACAAACCTGCCTCACCCTCGCGCCGCACTCCACCACTTTCTCCATGCCCGACATACCCAGCACGCCCACGCCCACCCCCTTCGCGTCCTCCACACCCCGCCACCCCTCAACGACACTGCCAATCCCGACCTCACTCCCCACGGCCCCCATCGCCACCACCGCCGTCTCGGTAAAGCGCCCAGTGCGCTGCTCGTCGAGCGCGCCCCCGAAGGCGAGAAGGGTCCCGATGGTGGGGTCCAGGATCTCGGCATGTGTCGTGACGACTTGGCTCTCGGCGAGGAGGGCATCGATGTGGCCCACGGCGGCGCCGGTCTCGGGCGCGTCTTGCGCGAGGCACCGGTACCACCAGTCACGGTCTAGGTATTTGATCCCCGGGCGGGAGGTGTCGGTAGGGTGGTATGAGCGCGGGAGGATGGTAGCGGGTGGGGTGATGGCATGGAGGGTGTGGTCTTGGTCTGGGGGGTGTTGGGTGGTTAATAGTTAGCTGTAGATTCCCGGGGGAGAGAGAGAGGAGCGGGGGTGTACCAGCTGTAGGTTCGCGGTATTGGTGGAGCCATTTACGCAGCGTAGGGGAGTAGATTGGCGGCCGGTTTGTGTCGATGGTGAGCATTGAGTTTGCAGGTGTGTGTCTGTGTCGCGGAGTGGCGTTTGCTTGAGTGCTGGGTATGGAGGTTTTTGATGTGAAGTGACGTAGATCCCTAACCCTGGCTAGGGTTCAGCGCCAAGAATCTGTAAAACAACAGACGAGAGGTGATAGGTTGGTTTGACGCCTTATGCACGACGACCTTCAGGGTTCCAGTCTTTGCTTGTTGGTGTTGTACGTTGTGATTGGTTGGTGGTGATTTGGGTGCATCGGACCTGCAGTGGTTGCGATATCACAACATGGCACCCTAGCTGTAGCCGGCGAGTGATACCTTGTGATGTGATCTACTAGCATCAGAAAAATATATGGCGGAGACGTTTCCAGGCTGATGATGGTCGAGTCCTCCCCATCTGGGGTCTGAACCGATCATGAGAAGAGTGCTCTGGTTCCCTTTCCCGCTGTTGCTCGGATAACGATGGATGAGCACTGGAATGATGATTGAGATCAAGAGGGCTGTACGCAGCCCACATGCAACTTATAGATCTCGAAGCTAACACGTATGCTTAGCCGCTTAGAACGACGTAACTGTTGAAACGTGTTTCAACACATAGTCGGCTAATCTGCCCCACAACGTGTGGTTGGTCATGTATTCATGCGCCCTTATCCTCTGCAGCAAGAATAGGGGTAGAGGCCAATGTAGATAGAGCTAGGATATCCAGAGGCAGGTAGATATAACCTTGAAGCTGAATTCCCCCTATGTGTCGGGGGTTGCTATATTCCTAGCTATAGGAGTGCCCGACAGGAGATGGGGGCTTCCATAGAGAGGATCCGAAAGTTACGTTGTTGAGTCTAAGATTTGTGTATTTCTATGTGGGATTCCATATCATGGATCTATTGGTTATTGGTGTTAGGGTTCATGAATCATGGGTTGCACACTTCCGGACGGGTAAGGATCATAGTCCATCACTCGGGGCTTGGCGTCACATTGTGTTGGATACTTGGCTTCTCACTCGTCGTACAGGTGAGCTGTCCCTGTCACTGTCGACACCTCCACTCACAACCCCTATCATTATCACGTTAAGACTTGTCCAATCCATCACTATATAGACGGCTAGACTGTTTGTCGATAAAGGAATCAACTTGCTCAGCTCTCTCGTCCTACCTTTTTCAACACATTCGTTTCTACGCCGTGTCGAAAATAGGTAGTTTTATTTATGGAATGCTGATGAAAAGTGATCGAACTAAAGTTGATGACAAGACCAAGGAGACAAGAGAGAGAAGAGGTGAAGGAGAGGGCTAGCACCAAGGTACAGGACCGATCCTATGGGCCCCCTTCCTATCTCACCCCACCACTCCCGTCTTCGCTGCCAAATACTAATAGGCTAAAGACTTGGACTGCGGTGCGTTGCAGTTTACAATTCTGGACGGGGGTCTACAGCCTAGAGGAAGAATATACGACCCAGCAAAAGACTTTTATTCTACCCTATTTACCCCACCTGGAACCGACAAGACCAAAGCACACAACAAAAGGAATGACAAAGAAAATATCTATCTACAGTAAGACCCTAGCTTTTCAGCCCCTCCAACGCCTCCTTGAGTCTCTCCCACCCCGCACTGTCCTCCCATGACTCCTTGCCCCTCCCCATCACCCCCCTCACCGCACTCCTCGCCTTAAACCTCCAATCCTTCGCCACCGGCTCCCCCGCGCCTAGCCCCTCCGTCCTCTCCATCCCTCCCAAACTCTCATACGCGCCCACTAACTCCACCGTGGCATCTACCAAGCCATCCCAGGCCTTCTCCGTCGAATCCGTCACCCCCGGCCGTGCCTGAACCGCCCTCCATGCCTTCTCCTCGGCCTCCAACGCATCCCTCGGCCGCCCCCTCCACAGTGCCACCTTCCCCACGATGCGCCATAGCCGCTCCTGGTGCGTAATCAGCGGCGTGACCTCCTTTTCGACAAGCTCCACCACCATCTTCGCGAGCCCCGGCTTGCTAGCGTCCAGCTCCGACGTCACAACATGCCGCACCAGCATCTCAAGCACATCCACATCCACGCAGCTCTCGCCGGCGGTGTCTTTTCGCAGATCAATGATCCTGCGCATCGCCACCACCACGTCCGTCCACGACGGCGGAACAACAGATGCAGCGATGATGAGGAGGTTCTCCCAGATGCGCCAGCTGTCGTACTTACTGGTACTCGCGCGCTTCAGTGCCGCGAGCGCATTGCGCTTATTATTCTCCTTCTGGACGAGCTCAAAGTCGGTCTGGTCCTGCTTTTGTGTTTCGTTTTCGTCGTCGCCGTCACCAGCGTGCCATTCCGGCTGTGCGGGGAGCTGCGTGGTGCGGTGGAGGAGCGCGCTGGCGAGGTTTGACCATGCCTCGGCGTCGGTCTCGTCGATGGAGACAGTTCGTGTGAAGGCCTCGACGGCGGCATCCCAGTCTTCGAGCTCGAGGTGGCAGCAGCCCAACGCGAACCACGACGCGTGGTTGAGCGGGTTTACGTGCAGTGATGCTGCATAGGCGTCGGCGGACTTTTTGTACTCCTTTGCCGAGAAGTAGTGACGTGCGAGGGAGCGCTTCGCGCGGGCGTAGCGGCCGCCAGATATGTCCCATGCGCGCTCGTAGTGGGCTGGGTCGCTGTCGATGTCGCCGAGAATGCACCATAGCCGTGGAGCGTTTGCAGGGGGCGGGGAGATCTCGTCGGTGGTGTCTGGGTGGAAGAGTTGTGCGTGGATGACCTTTCGGGCCTTCTCCTCCTTCTCAGTGGCGGCCCAGCAGAGGGCTACTTCGGGCCACATTTGCAGGCGCTCATAGATCTCGAGGGCGGTGCGGAGACCGCCCATTGAGATCCAGCGGGAGGCGAGCTCGGCCTCGAGGTCCCAGCGGGTGGGGACTGTGAGCTGGTGGATGTAGAGGAGGCGGTCGTGGATAGGGGCGGCCTCATCTTCTTTTGCGCGCGGGAGGAAGGTGGTGGTGGTGTTTGTGGAGGTGCTTGAGTCGGTGGATTGCGTGGTGTCTGCGATGACCTGGTCGACGACGGCCTGCAGTTGGAGGAGACCGCGCTCGACGGTGCGGGAGCGGTAGCCTTCCATTTTGGAACGCACGAGGAGGCCGAGCGTGTAGACCTCCCAGTTGGTGGAATGCTTGAGGACGCGCTCGGCGTAGGGCATCATCTCTTCTCTCGTCAGTCCCTCGGCGGGGTTGGTGTTCTTGATGGTCTCCGCTACAAGTAGCAGGATCGCCGCATCAAGAGGCTGTAGCTTTGGCTGATCGTTCGGATCCAGCTCCTGCAGCTCCTTCGGCAGTCCTTGCGCATCCTCCACCACTGCGGTACTCTTAGGCGTGAACGCAATAGACTCCAACAACGTATCATCATCCAACTTCAACGCCTTCGGCGCACTCTCCTCCGTCTTCTTCTCCTCGCCGCTGCCCTCCTCCTTACTCCTCGCCAGCACCACCAACTGACTGGTATCCGTCTGCTGGAACTTCGTCCTCTTCCCCATCACACCAGTGAGCGCATACACCAGCCCTGTCCGCTCCGCAGCCTCCTCAAGCCCCCGCAGCGCCTTCGTGTCGTGCCCAAAATACGTATCGACCAGCGCCCTCTCGACCAGAAACCTCGCCTGCACCCCGCCGCTCTGCGTCTCGGCCAGCGCAGAAACAGCCTTTGCGTCCTCGTAGATGACATCGTGTAGTCCTGCTGTCGCCTCAGAGAGTACCCGCTGGTGCCAGAAGTTGACGCGCATGCGCCACCAGCCCGCGGTCACTACACCTTTGCTCGTCGCCTCTGCGTTTAGCAGTGTCTTGGACAGCGCCAGGAGCAGCGCGCAAGGCATGAGATGGTACGCTGTTTCGCCGTCGACGGTCAGCGCTGTCACCACGGCCTTCTCCAGCCGCGTTGCAAACTCAGCATCGGTGTCGGGAAGGAGGAGGGCTGCGGGGGTGAACGGAAGAGGCGGTCCAGTGACGTTGGCCTGGATGAACGACCAGAGGGCCGCGGTACCGATCGCAAGGAGTGTATGTGGGGGTGTGTCAGGGCGCGCGGCGAGGCATTGCTGCAGGTAGCCTGTGTAGTCGAGTGTGCGTTTGAGGTATTCGGCGTCGCCGGCGCTGAAGAGGGACTGCGTTTCCGGGAGGGTGAAGACTGCGTTGAAGTCGCCGGCGGAGACGAGAGAGAGCGGCGTGGGGGAGTCGGTGGCGGGAAGGGCGTCGCCGGATATTAGTGCCCACTCTTGGGCGGTGAGGTCGGGTTCGGTCATCTTGGGGGAGGAGTGTTGTGTGGTTGGTTGGTTTGGATGGCAGGGAAGGTTTAATTAACCCCACGGTGGGGTTGTGAGCTGACAAAATGGCTGACAGGGGAGGTGGGCAGGGTAACGGTTAGTGATAGCTGGTGACGGAAGCCATGTCATTAATATATTATCAGCAGTAAGAAATTAACCGATAGGTCGTTTTCCCCTGTATTCTAATATATTACCGGCGACGGATTTGGTACTATTGCATGTAGTACCAGATCTCGATATTAATCTTAACTGAGCCAGAGTTGCACCAACTAACCGATTACAGCACTGCTACTAATTAGAATTAGTACTGCAGGTCTCCGCCGATCCCCATGCAAGATGGGAAAAACACTGTTTCGGATTCTAAGAAAGAACTTGGAGATTATATCGCGACTGGGTCAAAGTTTAAATTCTGAGCCTATGTGCCTGGGTCATACTAACTAATCTATGCCAAGGCCAATTGCGGCTCACGTCACTGTACGTCGCACGCCTAGCGTTTGAAACAACTAATAAACACCCCCGAAGTGGATTTCGTCACGAGGTCTTCGATTGAATTATTATTCTCTCTCAGTTCTCTCCCAGTAAAACTGTCCTGTGCGCGTGTAGTTGCCCTAGGTGCTGCCTAATACGTAAGCCCACACACCGGTAAACTAACCCTAACCCACCCCAGTCGCACCTCCTGTCAATGATCGAACCACCACCTTTTGCACCACCTGCACACGACCGCATCCGACCTCTCTCCCACACCGCACATCACCCACCCAGCCCATCGCCCACAACCACCGACGCTCCAACCACACAGACCCGGCAGGGTAACCGCCCACCCACCAACCACCACCACCGGACTGCTTTCCCCACACATCCCCACCAAACCCACCAACCAGAAAAATCCTCACATCGACAAAAAAGCCCAAACCCATCCACCCCCTCACTATACCAGATACAGGAAAACACAAACAAATTACTGCAATCTACAATGCCTCCCCACAGCAACGCAAACGATGACGATGAGGACATTGACTTCTCCGGTTCTGCTCCCTCCCCCCCCCTCCATCTCCCCCATCTCCCCTCCGCTCCTCCACATCACCCCTCCGCTAACAAAACACACAAACAGACCTCAGAGAACAACATGAAGTCCGCCTGGACGAGGGCCTCGACACGTTCGTCGTCGTCGACGGCTGCCCCGTCGTCTCGGAGGAGAACAAGCCGCGCCTCATCAAGTTCCTGTGCAAGAAGCTCGGCGAGGCCGGCAGAACCAAGCCGGATGCCGTGTTTATGCCGGTCAATGAGGAGAGCGGTATGACTGAAGGGTAAGTGCAGCTCTCCTAGTATCTATGCAGTTTCGATGCTACCGCATCTGCACGATGGCACGATGCCACCGCACCCGCACGACGGCACGATGCTAACGCACCACACCGCACAGCTACGCCTTCGTCGAGTACGAGACCCCCGAACAAGCGCTCCTCGCCATCAAAACCCTCCACGGCGTCGCCCTCGACAAGAAGCACACCATGTCCATCAACAAACTCACCGACATCGACCACTTTGGCCGCGCCGGGCGCATCTCCGACACCTACACACCCCCGCACATCGAGTCCTTCGCCGAGACCGAGCACCTGCGCTCCTGGCTGTCGGACGCCAACGCGCGCGACCAGTTCGCCATGTACCGCGGCGACAGCGTCGGCGTGTTCTGGAACCGCAAGAAGGACACGCCCGACGCCGACGTCGACCGCCTCGGCTGGACAGAGTCCTTCGTGCAGTGGTCCCCGCAGGGGACCTTCCTGACGAGCGTGCATGAGCAGGGCGTGCAGCTGTGGGGCGGCCCGACGTGGAAGCGTGTGATGCGCTTCGCGCACCCGGCGGTCAATCTGGTGGATTTCTCGCCGTGCGAGCGGTATTTGGTGACGTGGAGTAACAAGCCGATTAGTCTGCCTGAGATGCTGCCGGCGGGGTTCCCGCTGGGCCCCGACGAGGAGGGGAAGAGCTTTATTGTGTGGGATATCAAGACGGGGGGGCTGCTCAGGTCTTTTGCGGCGATCCTGGATAATCCGGAGGATGACCTGATTGAGGTGGTGAGGAAGAAGGTGTCGTGGCCGGTGTTTAAGTGGAGTGCCGACGACCGCTATGTGGCGAGGGTGGTGCCGGGGCAGTCGATTCAGGTGTTTGAGACCCCGTCCATGGTGCTGCTGGGGAAGAAGGCAATCAAGATCGACGGCGTGGTCGACTTCGAATGGTCCCCGCAGGCCGCGGCCGTCCCCACCCCCAAGGACCCCAAAGACAAAGACCCCACCACCACCACCACCCCCTCCACCCAAACCCTCGCCTTCTGGACGCCCGAAATGAACAACCAGACCGCGCGCGTCACGCTCATGTCGCTGCCCTCCAAAGAGATCATCCGCACTCGCAACCTCGTCAACGTCTCCGACTGCAAGCTGCACTGGCAGTCGTCCGGGAAATACCTCTGCGTCAAGGTCGACCGCCACACAAAGACCAAGAAGAGCACCTTCACCTCGCTCGAGTTCTTCCGCCTGCGCGAGAAGAACATCCCCGTGGAGATCATCGAGCTGAAAGCCAGCATCGTCAACTTCGCATGGGAGCCCGCCAACGGCGACCGCTTCGTGTTCATCACGGCCGACGACGCGGTGCCCGGGGCGGCGGCGGTCGCGCCGAAGATGGCGGTGCACTTTTATGCGCCGGAGAAGATCAAGGGTGGTGGGGCGGGGGCGGTGGGCGAGTTTACGCTGGTGAAGACGGTCGAGAGGAAGAACTCGAATGCGATCTATTGGTGCCCGAAGGGGAGGTTTGTGTTGGTGGCCACCGTGCACAGCCAGATGTCGTTTGAGCTCGAGTTCTGGGATTGTGATTTTGAGGGGGAGAAGATGAAGCTGGAGGGGGGCAAGGCGGGGAAGGAGGTGGCGGCGAATTTGATGCTCATGGGGACGGGAGAGCATTATGGCGTGACGGATGTGGAGTGGGATCCGACGGGGAGGTATGTGGCGACTAGTACGAGTATGTGGAAGACTCCGGTATGTTGCGCTCTTTTCCTTTTGTTTCTTGGTTTTTGGTCGCTCTTTGGGTTCTTTGGACTTGTGCTTCATGGGATGTCACTCTGCACGTATACACCCCTGTCGTGGGCTGCTACTCGCAATATCATAGACTATCACTCATTCCCTTTTATACACTATTACCCATTCATTTCATAAACACCGTTCCATCTGGTTTTATAAACCATCATTCATACTCCTTCATGACCCATCGCCCATTCCCCTTCCACTCACCCTCTAATTACAACCCATAACCCCTCGTTACTCCTCTTTCTTTCCCCAACTTACTCACCACCCCCACCCCCACCCCCAGATGGAAAACGGCTACCACCTCTGGGACTTCCGCGGCGCCCTCCTGCGCGAAGAACACATCGACAAGTTCAAGCAACTCCTGTGGCGCCCCCGCCCGCCCACGCTCCTCACGCCCAGCGCGCAAAAGGCGATCCGCAAGAACCTGCGCGAGTACTCCAAAGCCTTCGACGAGGAGGACCTGTTCGAGTCCGAGGCGGCCAACAAGGAGGTTGTCGAGGCGCGCATGCGCATGCTCGACGAGTGGCGCGCGTGGCGCGAGCGCGTCGTGGCTGAGGTGCGCATGCAACGTGGCGTGGAGGAGGCGGTCGTGGTTGAGGAGGATCGCGTGGTTGAGGAGATTGTGGAGGAGGTGGTGGAGGAGAGGGAGGAGCTTGTTGTGGGGTAGTGGGGAAAGAAAAGGGGGGGGGGGGTATAGGTGGGATGGAGATGGGGAAGGGGGGTTGTGGCGGGGTAGATGGTTGCGCTGCGCTTTCTGCTTTTTCTGTCTTTTCTTAGGTAGGGCGGAAAATATCAGGCGATGGTCGCTGGAAAAAAAAGTACAATGAATAAAAGATTGCATCTGGAAAGTTGTGTAAACTGTAAACATCTCTTTGATATCGCCTTATCCCCAAAAAAAACAAAAACCAAAAACATAAGAACATCGAACCATAACTCCCTTCCTCCCTCAACATGACCCAAGCTCGAAAATAATTGAGAAATTCAAAACAGGTATGCAGCAGTCCAACATAGCGTACCCAAGAACCGCCCTCTCCCCCTGCAGGACAACCAGAATGTCATCCATGAACCGTATCCAAACCACCACTCCTTTACAGTACGAGTCCAACACTCGAAGAGGAAGAAAAAAAAAGAAAAAAGAAGAAAAAAGAAAAAGAACAAGAAATGAAATGAAAAGAAAAAAAAGAATGATCATGAAATCGCACTCAACCATCTTCCGGAACACAACTCCAGCTAGATTCAAAATCGATCCTATCCCCACCGGAACCCACAAGTAACCCATCACCACCACCACCTAAATTCTATCCACCAAAACCCCCTGGAATTACCGTCGGTATCGCCTCTTCGTCCGTGTGTATTTGTGTGATGCGGAGAGATGCCGCTCTGCGGGGAAAGGAAAGGTTTCAAGAAATACGGCGAGGATTACTAGTATAGTAGTTATGCCGCATTGGGCTTTCCTTCGGCCTTTGGATGCTGAACCTAAGTATTGATTGAATTCTTGAGCAGCTCGATAATCACTTTATTGCCGTTAATTTCTGCCCAGTTGAGGGGCGAGATCCTGAATCTACCCTGAGCTCTGGCGTCGGCACCATACTCAAGAAGTAGCTTGACCATGACCTCATTGCTTTCACCTGTTGCCAGGTGCAAGGCCGTGCTTCCCGATTTATTCTGAGCGTTGGGATCGGCACCATACTCAAGAAGGAGCTTGACCACGGCTCCATTGCCTTTATCCATTGCCACGTATAGAACTGTGTCTCCGTCCGGGTCATGAGTGTTGGCATCGGCACCGTTTTCAAGAAGTAGCTTGACTATTGCTTCATGGCCTCCACATACTGCTAGGTACAGGGCTGTGTGTCCGCGTAAACTTTTAAACTTGATGTCGGCACCACTCTCAAAAAGTAGCTTGACTATGGCTTCATTACCTCTATCTATTGCCATGTACAGGGCCGTGTCTCCATATTTATCGTGAGTGTTGACTTCGGCACCGTTTTCAAGAAGTAGCTTGACCATGGCTTCATCGCCTATACCTGTTGCCAGGTGTAGGGCCGTGTTTCCCAATTTATTCTGAGTGTTGGCGTCAGCGCCATTTTCAAGAAGTAGCTTGACCATGGCTTCATCGCCTATACCTGTTGCCAGGTGCAGGGCCGTGCTTCCCGATTCATTCTGAGTGTTGGCGTCGGCGCCGTTTTCAAGAAGTAGCTTGACCATGGCTTCGCCTCCACCTGTTGCCAGGTGGAGGACTGTGTTTCCCGATTTGTTCTGAGCTTTGGCATCCGCACCATGCACAAGAAGTAGCATGACCATCGCTCCATCGCCTCTACTTGCTGCCAGGTGCAGGGCCGTTCTTCCGAAGTTATCGTCAGCGTTGGCATTGGCACCATGGCCAAGAAGGAGCGTGACTATGGCTTCATTGCCTTTATCTATTGCCATGTACAGGAGCGTGTCTCCATTCGGGTCTTGAGTGTTGACGCCGGCATCGGCACCGTTTTCAAGAAGTAGCTTGATTATCGTTTCTTTGCCTCCGTGTACCGCCCGATATAGTGCTGTGCGTCCAGACCGATCGTGAGAGTGGGCATCGGCGCCGTTTTCAAGAAGTAGCTTGACCATGGGTTCATCGCCTATTTCTGTTGCCAGGTGCAGGGCCAGGTCCCCCGATTCATTCTGAGCGTTGGGGTCGGCGCCGTTTTCAAGAAGTAGCTTGACCATGGCTTCACCGCATTTATTCACTGCCAGGTGCAGGGCCAGGTTTCCCGATCTACTCTGAGCATCGGGGTCGGCGCCGTTTTCAAGAAGTAGCTTGACCATGGCTTTATCGCTTCCGTATACCGCCCGATACAGGGCCGTGTCTCCAAACTTATCCTGAGTGTTGGCATCGGCGCCGTTTTCAAAAAGTAACTTGGATATCGCTTTATAGCCTTTGCAGCGACCTATTGCTTGTTCAAGCAGGGGTGTTCGTCCGACCCCATCGCAAATGTTGGGGTCGGCGCCGTTTTCAAGAAGTAGCTTGACTATCGCTTCATAGCCTCGGCATGCTGCTTGATGCAGGGCTGTACATCCCAAGTCGCCGACTTTGAAGTTGACGTCGGCACCAATCTCAAGAAGTAGTTGAACACTCGAGAAGTTTCCGCGATCAGCAGCCCACAGAAGTGACCATTGTAAATTTAATTTGGAGGGACGTTCATCTTTTTGTTCCAACAAACGCCTGATAACAGAGCTATTCCCAAGAAACGCTGCAAGCCCAAGTTCACCACCACATTTATCCGCGGCGTCTTCCTCGTACAGCCAAGGTTCTAGTTTAAGAGTGGCGAGGTACATATAATTGCGGGTGTTTCTCTTGCCCTGAATCAATCGACTGATAACTTCTTCTGTCAGAAGCTCGTCACATTGTTTAAGGTGATGTTGTAGTTCGCTGGCCGCATATTCCAGCAATGGATAAGTGCGAGATAAAGATAAAGCATTCAGGGTGTAAAAACGGTGTGAAAAGATATCGTAGGAAAGGAATGTCGTGCAAGCTATAGCCACTTGCAAATCCGCGTCATCGGGGACTAGTTGGTTTCTGGTGAGAAACTCCTGAGCTGTGTAATGCACAAATCTAACACAATCACTTGTTTCATCAATGCTAACTAAGCTAGCACAGACGTCTAGTAGGGTCTTGCGGTCCGGTAGACTATCTTTGTCAAAAATGGTATTCTGCTCCTCTACTGATACCGCAAGTTGTAGTTCGCGAACCGTAAGAACTCTTCGAGCTTTTATAAGCCATGAAATGATTTTAAATGCGAGTTTAATGCCGCTCTTTTGCTGTAAGTGGATATTCTGCATTGCTCTGCGATAGGTGGGATCCATGGGGTAATCTTCGTTCGACGAGTTTTTGATCCTCTCAAGCTCCGTGAGGACCTGTTTCAAGTTTGTCTGCTGGCAGAGGCACTCAATGTGGAAGTGAACCAGGAGAAACCTACGCACAGTAAAATTAGCTTAAGCTCCTGACTTATACTACTAAGGCAAGTATTTGAGGTTGACTTACATTCCATTAGCACACTCTTGGAGAGCTGAAATTATCTTTTCCTTCAATTCGGGATTTCCTTGGTTTATGAGACTTTTGGCTCGGGAACTATCGGCTATTCTCTGTTCAATATAGCTTGAGATATCGTCGTTCTTGGCCCAAAGCCTCAACTTTGTGATGTTTGCAAATGACGCTTGGATATCGTCTGGATGCTCACGACTTGTCAAGAACAGATTTATACCAGCCTTTCCTATACGGTGAAATATCGGTAATAATGTTTCTCGCTGAAGTACTTTATCGCATTCATCCAAGGCGTCGAAAATGATAAAGGTTTGTGCAAATGATTTCCCAATTTCAAGGAGAATTTCGCGCAACTGATCAAGCCTAGGCTTTTTGTTATCATTGTACGCTTCTTGAATCGCTTTAGGTAAGACTTTGGCTTTGAATGCCAGTTGCTTCACCAGGCTTGAAAACGTATCGATTGGTGTTTGTTGTCCTTGCTCCTGAAAATTGAAATAAATATACCCAACGCCGTAGTTTGCATTGATCGCTTCAATATGATCAATCATCAACGAGCTGCCAAAAATTAGATCATGTTTTTATATACAACGATTTCAAATGAATATACCTCAGAAATGTCTTACCGGCACCCGCTAGAGATAATGCAAATCAGTTTGATAACTGGTGTGATATTATCATTTGAATCAATATACTATATGGGTACGTACGGATACCGTATCCCCACAGTAGCCGGCCACTCGGATTTCCTTTAATCCAATCTTGAACTTCTTGTGTCTTAAATATCCACTGACCCGTATTCTTTTTTCTTTGGCTACTAATTTCTATATGCCTTTTGTCGTAGGGCGCTGGAAATAGCCAATTCAGAGCGTCCCGTCGGGTTTCTGACAGATCACGAGGGATTCCCATGTCCCATGTTAGCACTGGGATATCTTGAATCCACTTTCGATTAGAGTTGATCTTACGGTCTTTTTCTCTTTCTTCCTGGCAATTCTTAGTACTTGATATATCTCCGATCTCGATCTCCATCTTTTGAACACTTTCCGCAACTAGGTTTGTGCGAGACCTACATCCACAGCCGGGTTATATAAGTCATTACAAATTTATTGCACGTAAGGCTTTACTCACAACTGTTCTGCCTCCAAAGCAAGTGAAAAGGAACTCTTAAATCTTTCTATTCGCCCTAGATATCCCTGAATACCTTTCTCGTCCAAGGGCCATCGTAGCCAGCCGAGGAGATTTTTTCTAGGTTTCAACTTTTCTTGTAGTCCCAACATTTCCTTATGACACACATGCAAAGAGTATTCTACTGTCCGTAAAGTTTCTGCTTGTGGGTCTTGTGCGCATATTTTCAAACGCGAGAGGATTACTATGAGTGTTTGAAACTCGAGCGTAAGTTCGCGAAGACTGTCGGGCGCTCGTATTGCGCTATTCAAGTATTGGTAACTCAAAGATGCCACCGATGTTGTGATTTGAAGTACCGCGATGATACTAGCTGCGAGCCCTAAACCGTCGGCCATGGTTTATCGTACGCGTTTCTGGATGGTATCGTGTTGGCCGAGCTCCTAGTTTGATGAAGGCTAGGAAGGTGGGGTGCGCATGTGTGACGCAACGGACAGGGGCCTTTGCGATTGACCAATAAGAGAAGACAAAACTGTGCTTGACTGTTTCTTCATTGGTAAAATCTCTCTCATGCATTAGCGTGGCCTATCCAGGAAATGATTGACTGAGGTAAGGCAGCGAACTGCGAACTTTATGGCACCGTTAAGTATTCCAAAGACCGACAAAGGCAGCAAGCTGCTTACCTAGACGTTTTCTCACCCAAATTCAAGGTCACATGACGTTCATACATGAGAGAGATTTTACCAATGTCTCATACATCCAGGGGATAGCTGTATGTGCCAACGTCCCTAACCGAAATATATTTTTGACAATAAGGTAGGTTGATGATACATGTAGTCTCACGCTTTCCCGGATTCTTAGCCCTACGTCACGTAATACGGTGATTTCGGGCTGAATCTAGGCTCGTCCCCAACCCCCCTGCTTCCATCCTTCCAGGGAGGCGAGAGCAGCTTGCTGCTAAGTAGTGGATGGTACGAGACTAGGCTGAATCCTATCGGCGACTGGAATAAGACAATCGTGCAAATTTACCCAATTGTACAAACGACTTATTTAGTTCAAATATAGTATAATTAAATCTAGAGAGCTGTATGACACTTATATAGGTGTCTTATATGATGGTAATTGGGTGGCGGTCGATATTGAACCACCTGCGCAATTTGTTGATCAAACACGATTGCATTAATCTAACTCCGCAAATTGCGCAATTGAGTCCCGGGCAAGAACCCAAGCACCCCTTCAAGGCAATTAGTAGTCCTTGATTCAAATATCTTTAATTAGTTGACCATTACAATATATTCATTAGTAGGGATTGTGGGCCATCATCGATCGTGGGGAGTTTTGGGGGTAAACGTCAATTCTGCGCAATTGCATCTGCACACGGGTACTGAGGTGCGCAATTGAGCTCTACGGGGCCATTTACGAGCCTAACAACTCGCCGACTTCTTATTCCAGACTACAAGAGTGAAAAGAGTTAATTGCTCAATTAGGGTACGTGGGGTACGTACGTAGCCCTTAACTCCCACCCGCCGACCCTAACCCTAACCTTCTCTATATACTCTGGCGCGAGACTACATGTAGATTGATGATACATCTTACTAATTTCTCCTCATACATATTTCAGAATACGCGACTGCCGGTTATTTTGTGCGGTCCAAAATTATAAGCACATGCCTATATATAAGAGCTTGTATTTGAGGAAGTTAATACCCCTAATAATTATAAAGTAATTATATAGAAATTTGGTCAATCCTGCGCCTGAAAGTAGCAGCGGTAATTACATGTAGTACATACATGTAGATACTTGTATGATTCCAATCATATAGTAGTTTCGGCATTTACGGAAAAAACTAAATCAGACCTATGTTCATTCTTGCGTATATTTTATGAATAATAGGGAAGAAGAGAAACAAACAGAAATAAAGCAAATAATCAATACTCAGTACTACAGGTATGATACCCCCTGGATGTTCGAGACATTTTGCGAAATCTCTCTCATGCATTAGCGTGGTCTATCCAGGAAATGATTAACACTATATAGAGCAGCATCGTGAGAAGTTTATGGTACATCAGCGTACTCCAAAGACCTGTAAATGCGGCACACTGCTTACCCTGATGTTTTCCCACCTAAACTCGAGATCACATGATATTTATGCATGAGAGAGATTTCGCAAAATGTCTCGAACATCCAGGGGATAACATTTGCTGGAGTGCCGGTTTGATAAAACTACATGGAAGTTGGACTACATGTGGTTGAGCCCGAGCCCAATGAAAAAGGACGTTCTATTTGCACGTGTACGGGAGCGATTTAGCCCGGACTACCATACATGTAGTTACGTCATGTGTATAATGTATGTAGCGCCCCATAAACACGTATACGCGCATATGCTTATAGAAAATTTCGACAAAACCATCTCCTGTTTTCGTACTGCTTCTATAGGCTGAGCTTTTCAAAATATATAAGCTATGCTCCTCGATCTGCGAGTCAAAAAGGCTGTTTGGGACTTACTTATGCCCCATTTGTGGCCCCAGTGATTGCGTTCTCGAAAACACTACAACTCCTTCCTCTTCTGGCTTTTGTCTGAGGAACGCACCCATCATCCCCCTTTCGCCGATCTGTAATGACCTCAGATTCCTAGCGGATATCTTGGTAATGGCTATTAATCCCTTCAGTATAAGTGTATACATCAGATAAAAACACCTAGACTTGAATATAACCTACGGATATGTCTTCCAGTTGGCGCAGAGATAGTGGAGGGATTCTGGGTTTGCGTCATCTTTGCGTTCTCTCTCTTCATCACTCTTCCAGAAGGGTTCGAGTTTTGAACGAGAAATTATGGGACGTATAAATTTAAAGGTGGACTCGAAGAGTAATCTGGCCGGCTAGGATATTCCGTGTGAATGGCGGAATCAATGGTATCGGATTGAGCACAGAGTCCCAGGGGTTAGTTTTCCTAGAATCGCGATAGAGGTACGCGAGGAATATATTATATATACACCTACATACATGCTCTTGTGCTTCTGGCTGACACGATTAATCGTGAATTCAGATGATCCCTGCCTCCGAAGAGCTAGAGGCACCTACCAGAGACTTACTTTATAATAACCAATCATAGTCACACACTTAAGCTTGCATTTCAAATAATTAAGGCATCGCCTTCCCAACGGTTTAGAATCACGATTCAACAGATCTAAGGTCCTTGTGAGTATATCAGCCTTGTACTGATGACTGTTGATAGGCTGTAAACTGGATCCTATTACGGGCAGAGCGCTGGGTTGGGGCCTTCAAAAAGTAATCCTTCAGCTAGTGAAAGTCGATAAGTAATCATATAAATCTTTTGAATATTGTCCCAAATTATCAGGGATTTGTATATGGAAACAACTCAGGGCACTCGTATAATGATCGATATGAAAACCTCAAATCGTTAGGTTTCTACTGACACTAACACAATTCTTAACTTAAAGGTATAACATTTCATCGAGCAGGAAGCAGAATTCTAGCTACTCATCCTGGCAGTCGATCTAGTCATAGTTTTGAAGAAATTGCGACGTATATCTAAATTTATTACAGCTACCGTGGCCAGTACACCATATCACCATCAACGTATACTCTTTCCCCAACACTCTCGGGCTTAGTCTGCTCAAAGTGGAACAATTGTTAAATGGCCAGTGCACACCTTATCTGGGGAAGATAAGAATAAATTGCTTTTTGAAAACTAATCCACCACGCACATACGTATACAGGAGTTGAGTTCGAACTTCCGGTGCATATGTCTATAAGAATTCGATTTCTTTGGTTGTTGATGTTGTTTCAAGGGCTGGGGGTAGGTTTTCCGCCAATAAGACCCGGGATTTCGTTTTGAAACCACCATCAGCGTCAACCCGATGAATTTCTTTAGGGCCAGAGAGAAAGGATTATGGGACACCCTCGAAAAGAAATTTCTACCCAATGATGTGTTAATCAATGCCTGCGATAACAAGCCAACCTACATTTATGCCGTTCAGGTAACACTACTTTCATAAATTGTCAACCATTCTATCCTTCGACCGAGTAGTTACCAGCTGCCAAACCTATAAATCTTCGTGATTGGCTAACTTGAGTTACTTCTACCTAGTAGGATGCTTTCAACAAGCAATCATGCTTACTATGTCTCACATCGTATTAACTGACCATAGTCGGCAGAAAGTAGTACTACATCTGCTAGTCGATTTATCATTATTCAATGAAGAAAATACGGGCTGCATTGGCTCCACTAAAAAAAATGAGAAAAGCTGCGAGAGTGGTACTTGGCCCTGTCAAATCCCCGCAAATTAGATGGCAAAAGCTTTTCTTCTGTATCGGAATTAATGCAAAACCCTTGATCGAGGCAACCATCTTTAGTATCTTGACATGGAAAATGACTGATGACCCTTACGGCTTAGTAGTGTATGAAGAAAAGATCTTCAGGGAATCTGCCGTGGGTTTTGAACCTCTTACTGTGTTGACTTTTAGCGACGGCGGCGACGGCGGCATACTAGTGTGCACCAATATAGACGGCCCTTTCTGTCGGGAGCTCAGAAATGGAAAGCAGGCTGTTAATGCTAAGGATATCACAAATCCCTCGCCCTTCGATGATCATGACTCTCCTAGGTTCATGAAGTTGTCCTAAACTACGCATTCTTTTTCTAATTTATCATATTTCCATGCTTGAGAGCGTTATCCTCATTTGAACATCGACATCTCGGTGCTAAGTTTATTCGCATTGAAGACTATGAATGCGACCTCTCCTATGATCTAGGGTTTCTGGGGGGACCAAACACACTTCTGGGTTCCAGCACTATCAGCCTAGGAATTGATATGTGACTTGTGTGAAACAGTGGCGTCCCTTGTAAGTGACACCGGCGATCGTGTTTGGAAATAGGTGTCTGAAAGAAGCTGCTTGGCAGCGCTTTCTTGCTTTCTTGGGCCTTGATGTTGGCAGATATGGGCTGTGTCAAGATCATTTTTTACTTTCTACAAATTAAGCTAATTATTTTTGCCTGGCTAAGATTTCCGTATCGTAAACCACTATACCCAAAACACTTTCCTCGGGTTCCACAAACATATCCAGATCTGGTCATTCCTACCTCTTCGGTACGTCTAGGGCATATTATGCAGTCTGTTAGCTGGTGAGCGTCAAAGAACTATGTAGTGACTACTTGCTAGATCATTCTTTACTTTGTCAAGAGATTTTTCTTCCTGATATACAGGAGTCTCAGCGGCCTCAGCTCAACAAAAACTACATGTAGTACTGCTGCCTCACGTCATCAAGTTTTGGAGCCATTTCTTAGTCTGTTGATCGTTTTTACGATCGCTCACATATTTTCCAGGTGCGCGAGGGTAATCTTTGCTATTCTAAATACTGAATTTCAGATCTTCTCTTATTAACTCGTGATCTTAGTAGGACGTACCTTACTTTAGCAGGCGGATCAGGCGTAAACAGCGGATTGAGGTAAAAACCGGCGTTGGTATGTAGCATGGAACGATCATGAGTTGTCACTCGATTGTCTCCTCTCACCAACTTTTGGTAGTTTCGTAGCTGGTTGGCATTCAACCAATACTGGAATTTTCAGGCAATAGGTATCGGATATCGGTAAAGATTTAAGCCAAGGTTTAATCTGAAGTACTCTGCTTGAGTAGCCTTACTTATAACCGCCGCAACTCATAAGAGCAATGAGCCTTGTTCTATTTGCACAGTGAGTTTTTCCAATCTCTCCTTTGTTTTGTTTGATACTCTTTTCAAAGTAACATGTCCGAAATTAAGAGAAGGATTAAAGAATTTAGAAGTCTTGAGTCTTGATATTAGTAGTACTAGGTATCACAAATAGGGTCCACTACTTAGTGGATGACAGTCGATTTCGCTTGATGATCGGACTACACTAGACATAAGCCCTAACCCTTGAAGACCAATCAGTTAAGCATCGACTCATTTAGTATAATTGGAACTGAACTGTACATACATGTAGGTGCTCGTACTCCTGTGGTGTGTTCTGCTGCAGCTGGTACAAACATTTCTTCTTGGATGATCGGCCCTCAAAACCTGGGTTAGAGCCCATCCGCGGATTCCCAAAGTCACAGGTAAAAGAAGCCTTGCAGTGCACTGTAAAGAAAGTCTCGGTGCGCTGGCAATTGAGTGAGAATGACATGTTAAAAGCCTCGAAACTGCGGTCCGGGAAACTCCGCTGTTCCAAGTGATTCCGTGGAGCCGGCGGTGTGCGTAAGCTAAGCCCTTGCGCAATTGTATTTTTCTTTCGCTGCTGTCAGCTTTGGATTGACTAAAGGCCGATGCTTGAGCCTCAGCGGGGCGTTCGTGACATGAGGAAACAGAATGAACCCCGTGTTGGGTTTGCATGAAACTATCGATCCCCGCCCTCTTGGGTGCAAAAAAGGGTTTTGGCACAGCTGATGCGTCAAGAATGAAATACCTAGGCCAGGTTTCCGAATATTTAATGTGTGTGGAGTACACGTACGTGGAGGAGGCCTAGAAGGCCGGATCTCGAGATCTCTACATGTCCTCAAAGGACTATCCATACACACTAGCACTGCCACTGTAGGCATAAAGTGGCAGACGGGCACGCGAACAGAAGAAACCACCGAAGCGAGAGTATGGCGCACTCATAAGTGTCCTCGCTAAAGCGCCCAAAATGCATGCCAAGGCCTCCTGAGCCCAATCTTGACTTGCCGCCCAAGCCCACAAACTCCTCTAGGGCAATTAGCTTCCCAACGGAAAGCTACATAGGTACCCGTATAGAAAGCTTATTCCTGGTACTTGATACCTGTCATTTTTCTCGAAGTTGACAAAGCATAAGCATGTTTTATTTTGCTCATCGATTAACCTTGCATGTTTCTTTTAATTTTCTTTTCCTTCTTTCTCTTTGATACAGCTTTCCGGGTAAAGGGAAAACCACAGAAAATCTTCACGCTACATAGTCAGAATAATCCTCATGATCCATCACAGTACTTACCCCCAAATTACTTTCTGAGTGAGGCAATACTTGGCTCCGACAAGAAAAAGCAAACATCACCATAACCACGGCCCCATAAACGCCCTAGGCCTACTTGTTACACAACGGAGAAACACTCCATCTCTACCCGGCCGTTGGCCATGTGGAGCATTAAAATTTACAGATAGAGTAGAAGCCATGTGATAAACCTGGCAAAGCTAGTCCCTCGAGTTTCATTAGTCTAAAAATCACGCCGGCTGTACTCATTCTTTTGAAATCAGCTATAGACATGGATTTCATATCTGTAATTAATAACTCACGTCGTGTACATACACATAGAGATGTGGGTTCGCCCCACGATCTTCTCTACCTTGTAATGTACGTGTACATGCTTGGTACCAGTTGCTATTTGTAGCTGGCAAATCTATGGCCCCGATCCTTTATCTATTGCACCGCCTTCTAAGGCTTCATGATATTTACCATATTTGCATTTGGTGTAACTTTGAGATAACTTGAAATTTCTTTTTGTGCCGTTATTATTAATTAAGTTACAATTTTTATATACCGGCCTTTTAATTTCATGACGCCGTTATTCTAGCTAGTTCAGTTTACCTGGTAATGGCATATTTCCCGCTTTCACTTTGTCAGCCACGTCTGCAGCTGATCGTTGACAAGCAAAAGCTGTATGTCTCATCTTAATTGATCCCGGATATCGTATCAACGTTAACGATTGAAGGTACTGTTTATAATTTAACGTAGCTTTATGGCCACAATCAATTAATGAGTTAACTGATCGGTGAGAAATCATATATCACAGTATCACTCAAGGATCTCAATGATAATACGTAGGTTGACTAGTATGTTCGCGAGATCTGTTAAGCAGATGATCTCGAATACTTGACGTGCGAGTAGTACTTTAATACGGGTATAGTTAATCACAACATATCACTCGACACTTTATATAATTCCAAAAACCTGATACTATTGCTATAAAGTGCTCAATTATATAATTATTTCCTCAGGTTTTAGGCTAATGCGTACGTGCTTGTTAATCTCAAGATAATCGTAATATGGATACATTTGAGCCAGGAGTCTCATATGCACCGGTCATCTATAATAATTCGTATATAAGAACAATCGATCGAGAACCCTAGCCCTATGCCCGGTGCCCTCACCATTGAACGGAGTCCGCGGTAGAGGACCGGTACCAGACCGATGGCCTCAGGAGGAAATAGGCTCTAGAAGGTAGATATAAGCTTTGGAAAGAATCCCTGCGGGCCCGATGGTAGCACCCGGTGCGCCCCTAGTATAAAGCTTGTGTCGGGTAAAGAACTTGAGCAACCCTAACCCCAGGCCCTCACCATATTTGAGCGGAGCTGGAGCCGGGCTACGATAGAGAGGGAAATCGCATCAAGAGTGAAGGGAAAAGCTGCGGGAGCCCGGGAGAACATACATACAACCACCGGGACACCCTAGCTACATGTAGTACCGTTAGGTCATCTCGCGTGTATGATAGCTAACCGGGTAGTAGTAGACAGCTTCATTCGACGCTACACTCCGATCCCATCGCGTACGAAGTAGGGGGTGGTGGCGCGGTTCAACAAGGGCGCCCCCCCACCCGGCAGGCTGTTTACATGTATACGGTATGACTAAACAGATATGGCTTGGTCTGCTTGGTTGCACTAGTGCCCAGACTTAGCAATGAGTGCAGCGGTGTCAATTTATGCGAGTGATATATCATGAAGTCGTTTGCAAATCCACCCTTGACATTATTTGCGGTTCTTTCTTGTATAGAGTGGCAACGAACTGACAATTAGCCAAAGAAGAAGAAATAACAAAGAAAACCGTTTGTATTATGCCTCCGTGTTTAAGAAAGCAGACTCGTATAAAATTCAAATCCTCACAAATTTACAGAAACTTTTGTATCGAACCGCTAATTTATTGTAGCCACAATAAATACTCACTCCTTCAAAAAGGGAAAAGAAAAGAACACACCCCACCCAGCAAGATTACACACTGATTGTCTTGAAGACACTGAAACCATCTGCTCCCGTAGCCACAACTGTTCCCGGCGCCTGCTTCTGCCAATGAACCTCCTTCACGTCCTTGCAGTAGTGGACAAACAAGAGCTGCGGGGGCACATCCTCAACACCGCCGGTATCTCTGCTCTCCTCGTCATCCAACTCTACCGACAAATCCCACAATGTGACCGTTGAATCCGCCGACCCAACAGCAACAATGCTATCCTCTGTCGGGTGGAACTCGATCGACGTGATGGGCTGCTGATGGAACGTGAAAGAAGCGGTAGCAGAGACATGCTCGCCCTTGAGAGTGTTCGGGAAAGTCCGAAGATCCCAAACACCCCAAACACCGTCGTCCGCTCCAGTCGAGAGAAGATGTGGTACCGCGCTGCACCAAGATGCGACGTTTACATCGGACGAGGAAACGGAAACTGATAGCTGGTGCTTCTTGGTGTTGGCGCGGGCGTCGTAGATCTTGACAGTTCCGTCGCTTGATGCACTCGCAAATACATGACGCTCAGTAGGGCTCCATTGCAGCTCCTCGATACTGCCGGTGTGGCCTCTGAGGGGATCCTTGCCGGTGGCCCAGGTTCCGTCTTCTTTCCGGGTACTGACGAAGATCTTGCCGTCGTTGTCACCAGTGACAATCTTGCCCATCGACTCGCGTGGGTGGGGAGACCAGTCGATAGCGTAGCCCTCGACGTGCTTGTGCATGCGCAGGGTTGTGGGCTTGTTGGCGGCTGGGGTAATTGTAGTCCCGGGGGTGTCGAAGGAGGCGAGGTGTGTGGATAGATCCCAGATATGGACATCGCCGGTTTCTGCGAGAGAAGCAGCCTGTGAAGAGTGGGGTGATACGCGGATACGGTTTGTAGTTGTGGGGAGGGGGAGTGAGCGGGATTCGAGAATAGGGTCGTCTTCAGCTTCATCATCGGAGTCCGAATCTTCGTCTTCTTCTGTCTTTGCTGTGTGGGCATCAGCATAGGTTCTCAAATCCCGGAGAAAGGAAGGGATACCCCAAGGCTTAGAGAAAACAAGATATCAGTGGAGAATCTTACTTTGATGCATCTTTTGTAATCCACTCAACTTCATGACTGTGACCTCATTATCCTTCGGTCTCGCCGCCTGGGTCCCAGTTACCAGATACACAGTCGCCGGGTACCCTCTCCGTTCATCTCCAAGCCCATCCTGCAGAATATCAAAGCTCAAACAGGGCCAATTGACATTCATGCTATGCAGCATGTGGTATGCGCTTGGATCCGGCTCCAGAATCTCATCCTTTGCAAGCTGTCGTCGGGAAGGCATATAGACCTGCTGATCCAATTGCATTTCTTCCACAGCCTTTCCCTCATCTTCACCAGGGTCTTCTCCGTCGGCGCCGGCTTCAATGACCTCGTCATCGGACTCGAATTCGTCTTCAAAGTTGTCCTCGAAGTCACCCATCTCCGGGGGCTGAGTCTCGGGGGTTTCGCGCGAGCGGTTCTTGAGACCGCCGCTGCTAGGCGAGGTGGGCTCTGCGGGGCGCTTCGACATTTTATTGATCTCTAGGAGCCTATGATTATGGATTCGTGGGTTGGTGAGAAGTTGTGGGGGATTTCATGAGGCTCTGTTGGGGCATTTGTCTTTTTTTTTTTTTTTTTTGCTAGCCCCACTTATCGCTGTATGTAACATCTTATCTAATCTGGATCTGCAGGCCTAACCCCTCATGGTTTCACTTTTTTTATTTGTGCGCACAAGTGAATTTTCGATTTTTCGCATTCACTCTCAAGCACCTTCACACACCAGAATACCGCCAACACCCCGCAATCACCACCACGTCCAATTGGCTTTCGGCTACAAAAATAAATACACAAGAGATCGGACACCGTGAACTGATCCAACACTATGCCAAAAGAAAGCACCTCCGGGCCGCGCCCACACCGCCGCCATAATCCTCTCCACGAGGAACTCCTTGAAGATGCCCCTGGAAACCTCCGGAAGGTTTCCCGCGCGAAGCGAAAGGAGCGTCAGTCAAAGCCAGAGGAATATGTCGATTCCAGCATGTCAAAGAAAATTCTCCAGATTGCGAGGGAACAGCAGGATGAGCTTCAGGATGAGGCAGCTGTCAGCGCTGCTATGAAGGGGAACTTTATGGGTGCTGCGGCACAGATGAGGTTTGAGCAAGATGCGGAGGAGGATAGTGAGGGAGAATATGAGGACGCTGATTTTGGTGAAGAGGAGATTGTTGAGGAAGTGGTATGTGGAATGCGATTCTCTTACTGACAATTCAATGAAATGGGAGGTTCAAAGTGGGTTTTGGGGGTTGATGTTAAGGTTGCGTAGGAAATCGACGAAGCGGATATAGAGATGTTCAATCGCTTTATGCCATCAAACGGCGAAGAACCCACCCAGCGAATATCCCTCGCCGATAAAATCTTGGAGAAGATTGCGGAGCACGAGGCACGCCTTGCAGGCACCCTGGTCGAACAGGAACCCGTCCCTTCATTACCAGAAAAGGTCATTGAGGTCTACACGAAGTAATGATCTCCTACTAAAGCCCGGTTATATCATTTGAGCTCGAGATCTAAACTAACAACCTACAGAGTTGGCCTCCTTCTCTCCCGCTACAAATCCGGAAAGCTCCCTAAAGCTTTCAAAATCATACCGTCTCTCAAGAACTGGGAGGAAATCCTTTACCTCACCCGCCCCGACACCTGGTCTGCCAACGCCTGTCTTGAGGCCACCCGTCTATTCGCCGCCACAAAGTCCTCCCAATGCCAAAAGTTCCTCAACACAATTCTCCTTGACCGTGTTCGGGACGACATTGCCGAAAACAAAAAGCTTAATGTCCACCTCTACAACGCGATCAAGAAGTCCCTCTACAAGCCCGCCGCTTTCTTCAAAGGGTTTCTATTTCCCCTTGCACAAAGTGGGACCTGCACACTCAAGGAGGCCCAGATCATTGGATCTGTGCTTACCCGGATTTCCGTCCCCGTACTCCACTCAGCTGCTGCGCTGCTGAGGCTGTGCGAAATGGAATACACAGGTCCTACGAGCGTCTTTATCAAGGTGCTTATCGATAAGAAGTACGCGCTTCCATACAAGGTTGTTGATGCGCTAGTGTTCCACTTCATGAGGTTCAAGAGTGTTGAAGGGGCTCTGCCGCTGCTGTGGCACCAGAGCTTCTTAAGCTTCGCACAGAGGTATCGCAACGATGTGACAGAGGATCAGAGAGATGTGCTGCTGGATGTGTTGCTAGTCAAGGGGCATCCGGGTATTGCGCCGGAGATCAGGAGAGAGTTGTTGGAGGGACGGGGGAGAGGCGAGGAGGAGGGCGCCAGGGTTGCCGATGATGATGTTATGTTGGATTAAACTTTGTTTCGCCTTTTTTTTCTCTTCGTTCTCTATTTTTCCTTTCTTTAGTGGTTGTGGTGGTTTGCGCATCTTGTATACGTGTATATAAATAAAAGCTGGCTATGTATTTTGTTACTTTATTATTTGCATATCTCGTAGTGCTGTATGTGAGAGGTCTCGAGAAAGTTTGGATTAATTGGCTATGATGTGTGGTGAGTGCTCACACTATCCTTTTCATATTTTTCTGTTTACAGCGGACTGGTGTCTATTTCCAAGAACTACATGTAGTGGTGATCACGTTCTACTCTGTAAACTCGGCCGGATTTATACAAGCAAGGTAAGCCACCCTAATTAAGTAAATACATCCAACGTTCATTTTGTTAGTATCTTGACATATAAGGTTCTCCTGGATCCTTTTTAACAGTTTGTCAGCTTGAGGAAGGAGGAAGATCATCAAAATCGACAATACGGATCCGGACGTATATTAACATCCATGATCATGTGTCAATCAAAGATTGATAATCGTATAGCCAGCCCTCAAATTTGGTACATATATCGAATCAACAGCTTAAACAACGGCCTTCATGCACACTGCTGAGTAGCCGGTACAGCATGCTTGGGTAATCGATTGGCCAGGAATAGATTCGGATCGAATACCTTAATATGCGCAAAGCTGATAACTGGGAAGGCGGCCAATAGGAAGCGTGTTATGTACATATTAGTCACGCCTCATGATTCGATTATATATATAACCTGCTATCATAAGGCGTTGGGCAGATGTCTCTCTGAACAACACACACACACACACACACATACACACAAACAAACACCATCAGGGAGCACCTATTCTATTTCTACATAGTTGATCGTCTTTAGCGGCGTCAAGATCTTACCTGTTAGTTAGGGTACATTCAGACGCCCATAGACCTCATTCTTTCGAACTTACGAACACATCAGTCACTCGGGAAATATGGCGGAGGTAGTGGGTGTTATTGCCAGCATTGCCGGCCTGGTCCAAATCACTGCTACAGTATATGGTCTAATTCATACTTACGTTGGGGGCGTCAATCGAGCAGATAAAGACCGCCAGGAATTACTGGGGGAGCTCAAGACACTCAGCCTTCTCCTTATTCACTTGCAAGACGAAGTTAGAGAGAACTGGGAAGGGTCACCAGCACTGCAAGAATTATGCTCCAAGGAAGGGGCACTTCAGGGGTGTGCTCTGAAGTGTGCTGTAGAGTTAGAAAAGTTGGAGGCCCGGTTTAAGCAGAAGAATCGATTCCTAAGCCGCCTGAAATGGCCATTACAGGCGGGTGAAACCAAGGAATACATAGAAAAGCTTGAGAGATTTAAATCAACGGTTGATATAGCTTTGGGTTTGGACAATCGGTGAGCATTCTGGACCCCAAATATTGAACTGAGCATCATTGACCTTGGATCTATATCAGCGCAAGCGTGAGAAGGCTCGAAGAGAACGTCAAATCTACAACCCTTTTGATTCAGGATTTCAGGTATGCAGGATTCACTTACCCATGACCTGCCGGTTCGGCTGGTCGCTGATTTTTGCATCAGGGCTGAGACAAAATCTATGATAAACCTTGCGATCCAAAATGTTGGGCCATCTAGAGCGGATGTCTCGTGTAAGTTTAAAAATACATCGCTTCTAGAATTTTTAGTGCTGATTATCGGATAATGAACAGCAGCACGCAAAACTGTACTAGATTGGATATACCCGGGGGATTTCAACGCTAAACACTACGAAATCAGCAATAGGAGACAAAAAGGTACAGGTGATTGGCTTCTGAAATCGCCAGAATTTGTCGGCTGGGTTGAAGGGAAGTTAAAATCCCGCTTACTTTGGGGTCACGGCATTCGTATGTAATAACAAAAGTGCCTATACTGGTTTTATATACTGATATAACTCGTCGACACAGCTGGAGCTGGCAAGACATTTTTGAGGTGCATCATCTTTTTGGTTACTCGAGTTTTTATTTAATGAGTAGTCTTAACGGGTTTTCTCCAGCTCCACTGTTATTAATCACCTAGGAAATACATCTTCGGCAAAACGCGGGTTAGCGCATGTTTATTTTGATTATAAAGATCAAGGAAGGCAAACACCGATTGAGGTTATATCCAGTTTGATCAGACAACTCTCTAACCAAATCCAGGATGTCCCTTCTGCATTGGATGAAGTATATAAAAAATCAAAATCCGAAAAAGCGAAACCGACTCTGAACGAGCTATACAATACCCTTATCGCAATCTCGATGCTATTCGACCAAGTTTTTTTTGTCTTTGATGCTTTAGATGAATGTGACCCTCAAAAACAACGGAGAGAACTCCTTCCTTTATTAGTGCGTATGGGAGAGGGTGGTATCAACATTTTCGCGACCAGTCGTCCGCACCCTCGTGATATAGAAGATAGTCTTCAAAAGGCTGTAAAAATCGAGCTATCAGCACAGAAAGAAGATATTACTGTCTATATCCAGGCAAGAATTGCAGAAAATCCCCGAGCGAGGGACCTTATCTGCCAGGGAAACTACACTGGGAAAATCATTTCTAAACTTGAAGCTTGTGCGAATGGGATGTAAGTTAATTGGATTTTTTCAGCCCCCCCCCCCTCACTCTCTCCTTTCTCTCCATATTTACCCATTTTACAATTTTTCCTAAGTAGCTGTATTAAATGACATGACGATTAGGTTTTTGCTTGTACACCTGCATATCAACTATTTGTGTCAACAGACGACAACAAAACAAATCCTAAATGCACTTGAGAAACTTGAAAGCACATCCATGGGAGAGACATCATTGTATCCTACGTACGATAGTGCGATTGAGCGTATCGCTGGCCAGCACCCACCTGAAAGAGAGCTCGCGATCAAAATTTTCACCTGGTTAGTTAAAGCCAAGAGAGTTCTTACAATGGACGAGATTAGAGAAGCAGTATCAATTGTCCCAAACCGATATGAAATGGACGAAATGGATTTGCCAGAGGGAAGGACGTTGATTGAGGTATGCGGTGGACTAGTAGTAACTGACAATCAAACCGGCTCAATCCGGCTTGCTCATTACACGGTCCAGGAGTATCTGCTTGAGAGATCGTCCTCATTATTGAAGCCCGACGCCGAACTTGCTATCGCATGTGTTACTTATCTTTCTTTCGATGCCTTCACTATCAATACTCTGGAGCATTATAATGAGAGCTTTAGAGAGTTACTTAAACGACGCCCATTCATTAAATATTCAAGCGAAATGATGCTCTTTCATTTAAGATCCTCTGATCAGAAATTGACATTTGAGCCTTTTCTGCATTTTCTTGGAAAATCGGATAATGTTACTCTTTTTTTTGCTATATACTCTAATCTATCACATCTACATGTCCGGTCGCCCGTACGCGTCTCGTCGCCATTACACATCGCATCTTCTGCAGGTCACCTAGAAGTCGTAAAACGATTGGTCGAAAAGGGTGAGGATGTTTTAGTTAGGGATTGGAACTCAAGACTTCCATTACATGTTGCTGCTTCGGAGGGTCAGAAGGCAGTGGTGAACTATCTTCTTCGAACCAGACATGGACGACAACACTGGGTAGCCAATATTAAAGGATATAACGGAAATAATGCATTGCATGAGGCATGTTTGGCAGGTCATGAGCGGGTAGTTATGCTACTTCTCAACAAACGCCTGTATCCCCCATGGATTCGAAATATACATAGGCTCGTAAACATATATCAAGATACCGCGCTGGATTTAGCTGTTGAAAATGGACATGAGGCAGTGGTTAAGCTACTTCTCGACAAGGGAGCTAATGTAAACGCTATTAACGAATTAAACGAGACTCCATTGCACAAGACAGCTAGAAAAGGAGACGAGGGAGTGGTCAAGCTGCTTCTCGACAACGGAGCTGATGTAAACGCTTATGACAAATCGAACGAGACTGCATTGCACAAGGCAGCTAAGTATGGAAAGGTGGCAGTGGCCAAGCTGCTTCTCGACAGAGGAGCTAATATAAACGCCGTGGACGGATCGAACGAGACTGCATGGCACAAGGCAGCTGGTAATTGGTATAGCAGAAATGGGGCAGTAGTCAAGCTGCTTCTCGACAACGGAGCTGATGTAAACGCTGTTGACAAATCGAACCAGACCGCATTGCACAAGGCAGCAGAAAATGGGACGGAAGCAGTGATCGAGCTGCTTCTCGACAACGGAGCTGATGTAAACGCTATTGACAAATCAAACGAGACCGCATTGCACAAGGCAGCAGCAAGGCGGGGATCCGAGGCAGTGATCAAGCTGCTTCTCGACAACGGAGCTGATGTAAACGCTATTGACAAATCGAACGAAACCGCATTGCACAAGGCAGCAGCAGAGTGGGAATCCGAGGAGATGGTCAAGCTACTTCTCGACAAAGGAGCTGACCCAAACACTATTAACAAATCGAACGAGACCGTATTACTCAAGGCAGTTAGACACGGAAAAGGGTCAATGGTCAAACTACTACTCGACAAAGGAGCTGATGTAAACGCCCTAGGCGAATCGAACGAGACTGCATTACACAAGGCAGCTAGGTGGGGGGAGAAGGCAGTGATCAGGCTGCTTCTGGACAGAGGAGCTGATGTAAACGCCGTGAACGAATCGAATGAGACTGCATTACACATGGCAGTTTCCGATTACCGCAACGAGGTAGTGGTTATGTTACTTCTCGACAGGGGAGCTGATGTAAACGCTGTTGACAAATCGAACGAGACTGCATTGTACAAGGCAGCTATCTATGGAGGGGAGGAAATAGTCAAGCTGCTGCTTGAGAACGGAGCTGATGACGTACCCACCGACTCCTCCTCAATCACGCGTCTGTTCCGGTGGGCAAAATACCGTCTCTCGGGTTATTAATGCCGCTATGCACACAGATACTGTAAGTTGAAACCCAACCAAGCACTTTGACGCTGAAACGGAGCACTCATATTTACAGTTCTGCGAATAACAGATCCGGCTTGACATTCTCATATCACCGGTGGGTATAGTCGATATGGTTTTCTCTTTATTTTACGAAAAATTTGTGAAGGTCGTTTTATTTCTTTTGTTTTGCAATTTGGTATCTAAGCCTCTCGGTCTCGTTTCTTCTGGTTTGATTTCTTTTTCGGGTTTGGGATCAGTGATTTTATGAATCATAGAGGTTTGGATCATGAGGTATAAGCCGGAGGGGTCATTGGGGATATTTATCATCGAAAACTTTTGCCGTTGGGAGCTTTTACCGTTGAAAATTTTTCTCATTGATCAATTGAATATATGCAAACCTTCTTTTCGGTCTTGGAGGTTATGACCACAGGGTACCACACACTGAAGAATTTAATTTCCTCTCGCGAGAAACAAGTGTGACCTACGTACGCGTATCACAATATATCCCCTCTGATGAATTTTGCGTTGAATGTTGTGATTCAATGTGTAGATTTATTCTGTAACCAATACTTGCCTGTATGTACTGATTGTGATATGCATGTTGTTAAAAAGTAGGACGGGTATGAGTGTTATTCAATTAATATCGAGGTCTAAGGCTAATACATGCTATCTTATAGGAACCCGGACAGGACACTATTCCTCTTGACAGCGGGACCTTTACTGTTCGACACCTGGTCGACACTGTCTGTCTGACACCTGCTCGACACCATAACCTTACTGCCTTGAACGACACCTATCAATATCAACACATGTTCTGACTCGCCAAGACCACGGTCCCGAGTGAGAGACTATGACTCGACCATCTGGACTACCGATCACACTATCGACGATTATCAACTAGTGAAATAGCCCAAAAGTCATCAGATATTTCTGTATCTCAAACCACGTGCAGCGAGTTCTTATCCGGCCACCCGCACTCCCGCGATCCCCAGCCGACACCGGCCCACCCGGGCCGAAACGCCAAACTGCGGAGTACCCGGCCAATCAAACTGTAACACCTCCCTCCAGCAACCAAACGAAAGCCCTGAAGTCATCCCGGAGCTCAAGGAATGCAGCTCTGCTCCCCGGATCCTGGGAGCATAGCCATTTAGGCAACCCTTTTTTTCTTAAATCTTTATTTTCCGGCACCTGGAGATCGGATCGCTCCCATCCCTTCCGCCGAATCGCTGATAATTTCCGATAATTCACCTCGGCCTCGAACTCAGGTGGCACATGGGCGATCTTTGCGGGTTGGCTAATTGGTAGCTGCCGGGTGAATTAATGCTTGGGGGCTTGTAAGTACATGGTAGATACATGTAGCCGTGGGTGCGACGACGTGGATGCATGTCGATCTTGTACCTACTCTAGTTGTAGGACTCGTTTGGAAGTGTTTCTTAGGGGTCAGGAACGAACTGACCCTTTCTCTTCAGCAGGGTTTCCCCAGGAAAAATAAGTAGTAAACTATATCCTACATATGTCATGTCATAGTACCCTGCATTACTTGGTTAGATATATGTTATCTGCTCCTGAAAAAGTGCCGGCGCAGCAAACAGAAAGGAATAATCCCCTCAATTGCGTGCCGACTTACATGGGGGATTAATTGTTATAAGAAGCTGGGCCAAATCCATCATATTCCAGTCCGACTAACCAGTACACAAGCAAGAACGCCTCCGCAATGCTTTTCCCCAGTCGTACATCCGCCGTTCTCCTTGGCCTCTTCGGAGCCTTGAGTACCTTTGTTGAGCCTGCGATGGCAGCGACAAAGATTATGCCATTGGGTGACAGCATCACAGGATCACCTGTAAGCACCCTAGTTCCTTCTCGCTTCAATAAGTACTTACAAACGGAATGCTAGGGTTGTTGGCGTGCTCTCCTATGGCAAGACCTTATCGCTGCCGGTAAGACTAACATCGACTTTGTCGGGACCCTTCCCGCACAAGGTTGCGGCTTCACCTATGACGGTGAGAATGAAGGTATGTCTCCCTCTCCTCGTTTAACATTCTCTACTCGATCACTAACTCGATAACTCCCCTAGGCCACGGAGGCTACCTCGTAACCAATGTTGCCAACCAAAACCTCCTTCCCGGATGGCTCTCCGCCACCAGCCCCGACATTGTCATGATGCATTTCGGCACCAACGACGTATGGAACAACATTGCCACCAACACCATCCTCGCTGCCTACACGACACTCGTAGGGCAAATGAGGGCCCAGAACCCGAACATGAAGATCCTCGTAAGCTTCCTCTTCTCGTTTGTATGTATGGCATCGCGGGTTGATCGATGGCGTATATCTATAGGTTGCGAAAATCTTGCCAATGAACCCGTCGGGATGCTCAACGTGTGCGGCGGGAGTTGTGGCACTTAACAACGCGATCCCGAGCTGGGCGTCGGGGTTAAGCACGAGCGCGAGCCCCATATATGTGGTCGATCAGTGGACTGGGTTCGTCACAAGCACGGATACGAGTGATGGGGTGCACCCGAATGATGCGGGGATTATAAAGGTGGCGGATAAGTGGTATCCTACTCTTAGTAGTCTGGTTTAAGAGCGGATTTTGTTGAGTGCATCTATTGATGGGGAATTTTGGTTGAACATGGTACTAGATGTATAAATACATGTACATGTAGTACATGTAGTTGTAGAATCGATCAAACCTTGGGAAGCTCCTGTACATGTATTTACCCGTATTTGATTGTGAAATGTAATGAAATATGCTTCCATGAATGGCCATATGCGAACTTCTCCCCAGATTTGCGACTTTATAATTTTGGTATACGCCCTTCATGTTTATGCTGCACCTCAGCTCAAGACCTCGAAAACACCTTACGATTTCGAAACAACCCGTACTTATCCACCTTTTTGGGCTTACTCGGTTGGCAACTTGAAAATAGTTACATGTAAAATCGAGGTTAGCTAAACATAAATGCATTTGAAGAAGGCATCTTAAAGGTAACCAGTAACATTAATATTCTGAAATATTTGCACTACTAATTGAGCTCTTAAAATTATGCCCCACGCGAAATAGCGAAAAATATATTTACTTGGCAGAATGAACATCCCTGCTACTCTCTGCACAAGCATGTGTACCGACTAAAATTCAACATCCCGCAAAAATATCAAGAAAAATGGCATTCTTGGCGCTCACCTCCATTCGACGGCTGTCAAGCACCAGGAAAGTAAGTTTGGGCGTCATAAACCCTCACTCGCTTCGGTTATGTTACCCGAAGAGATGTCAAGCTTTAGGTACCCGTCTTGGCGCACCAACCACCACCCCATTGCTTCCCCGCAATTCCAGAGGTCTTTCCACAGTAACTACAACCAAAGGGAACTCATCAATCACTCCTAGACATACAAACGCAAAAATGTCCTCCCCAATCACCGTTCAATCGCACCGTAAGCACTCTTACCCCCTCACCAAATCCCAGGGTTCATCGAAGCTAAATTAACACACGCAGTCTACGTCGATTCCCCTCCGACAATCTGTGTCCTCGAGATTGCTCCCCACTTTGCTTCCCTCACACCCAAGCAGAAACTCTACGCTCACCACATCTCCCGTGCTGCATACCTCGGCACTCGTGTTTGTGCACGCCAATGTTCCCCCGAGTCAGAGCACATCTGTGATCTCATCTTAAACCTCCACAAGGCTGTCTCTGGGGACTACAAGAAGCTCTCCTCTGCAACCGGTGTCAGCGACGAGAATGTCAAGTACTTCCTCGAGTACGCAGCCATGGTTCTGACGTCGTGTGGGAACTACAAGAGCTTCGGAGACGCGAAGTTTATCCCTCGCATCCCGAAAGAGGAGCTCGCGAAGCTAGCGGAGTATGATGCGGGTGCTAAAGCGAGCTTTGAGAAGGTGAAGGAGGCTATCTACGCTACGCAGCCAGAGGCAAGGAACCTCTTGGGATACCCAGATGCTGGTCATGTTTCTACATACTACCCTGACTCGCCAGATATCACGAAGGCCGAGATTGAAGCTGTGCAGGATTTTATGAATGACAACTCGCTTCTTTCTGAGAACACTCGGTTACGGAAAGTCAGTGATACCGAGTTTCATCTGCTCATTGCGTCTGCACACGCTAGCGATAACAAAGAGTTTACACTTCCGGATGGGAAGAAGCTGAAACTGGAATATGGCGACCATGCAGCTGAGATGAAGAAGATTGCTGCAGCCTGTAAGGATGCCTCCGAATCTGCTGAGAATGAAGTACAGAAGAACATGTGGCTCGAGTACGCCCGCTCCTTCGCAGACGGTTCCATCGAAGCCCATAAAGAGAGTCAGAAGCTCTGGGTGCAGGATCAAGGACCAGTTGTCGAGTCTAACATTGGATTCATCGAGACTTACCGAGACCCACATGGTGTCCGTGGAGAATGGGAGGGCTTCGTAGCAGTCGTCAATCAAGAGCAGACGAAGAAATTTGGAGAGCTAGTACGGCGGGCTGAGGAGTTCATCAAACGCCTTCCCTGGGGCATCGATTTCGAGAAGGATACCTTCATCAAGCCTGATTTTACAAGTCTGGAAGTTCTTTCCTTTGCCGGAGGCAGCATCCCAGCAGGCATCAACATCCCCAACTACGACGATATTCGTCAAAACATTGGCTTCAAGAACGTCTCTCTTGCCAATGTTCTTAATGCTAAAGCTCCTACCGAAAGAATCACCTTCCTCTCTGATGCCGACCTTCCGCTCTACGAGAAGCTCCGCGGCAAGGCATTTGAGGTGCAAGTTGGTGTGCACGAATTGCTCGGCCATGGCACAGGCAAGCTCCTCCAAGAGACCTCCAAAGGCGTCTTCAACTTCCCCCATGACTCCCCACCAGCTTCTCCGGTTACCGGAAAGCCTATATCAACATGGTACAAGCCCGGCGAAACGTGGGGTGGCGTGTTCGGTGGTGTTGCTGGATCATACGAAGAGTGCAGAGCCGAGTGTGTGGCTATGGTACTGGGTGTTGATAAAGAGATTCTCTCAATCTTTGGGCACGCGGACCAGGATGCAGAGGATGTCCTCTACATTGAATACCTACAGATGGCACGCGCGGGCCTTCTCGCCCTCGAAATGTGGGATCCGAAGACATTAAAGTGGGGCCAGCCGCACATGCAAGCGCGCTACTCTATTTTGCAATGCTTCCGGTCTGCTGGTGATGGTTTTGTATCCTTCGAGCACTCGCTCCCAGACAAGAGCGACCTTGTAGTCAAGATTGACAGGACCAAAATCCTGAGCCATGGTGTTCCGGCCGTAAGCGAGTATCTCACAAAGCTGCATGTATATAAGAGTACAGCAGATGTTGAGGCAGGAACAAAGCTCTATGCTGAGATGACAACCGTCTCAGAGGAAATGAAGAGTTACAGAGATGTAGTCATGAGGATGAAGCAGCCAAGAAAAATGTTTGTCCAGGCGAACACGGTTATGGGCGAGGATGGAACGGTGGAGTTGAGAGAGTATGAAGCAACACCGGAGGGTGTGGTGAAGAGCTTTGCTGATAGGGAACTTTAAGGGGGTTTCTTTTATTGTTTTGATACCGTGGTTTAAATTCCAGGGCTTTTAGTTTAGCTTTCAAAAATAGCTCAATAATAACTTCTTGCCATACCCATTGAAAAAAGCGCTCTGAAAATCTACAATCAAACCATTAATATTCAGATCCTTGCAAGGATGATCTCAAATTTATATGCTATGAACAGTCCTAGCAGTCTAGGCGCAAAGAAGACCCAATCCCTAGTCT